GCAATGGTAAATACTGAGCCTCCCTCAGCCACATCCTTAATTATCTGATTTATAAAGCAAATCACTAGCTCAGCTCGGGGATTTCTGTTTACACATGTATAAGCACTGCTCGGTTTTACGAAGGCTGATAAAAAACACACACACAACCAAACATCTTTTATACAGTTGTAATGTCCTTCTTTCAAATAAAGCTCCTCAGAAATGTAAAAATGCTTTGTTGCTTTTTAAGAAAGATTATTGTTTGGTCGGATTTCCCCCCCATCCATTTCAAATCTAGACCACTTTTGGCATCTTGTCAAATGACTGAATAAGGCCTAGGATGTAGGGCTGTTGTTTTGGCCTCTGGTATATTTCTGGGATTGTTTGGTTTTTGGTCCTTAATTTTTATTTTTGTAGAATTGTGTGTTAGCCATTGAACCATTTATAAAAAAAACAAGTCATAATGACTGTATTAAAAGGTAAAGGTAAAGGTACCCCTGCCCGTACGGGCCAGTCTTGCCAGACTCTAGGGTTGTGCGCTCATCTCACTCTAGAGGCCGGGAGCCAGCGCTGTCCGCAGACACTTCCGGGTCATGTGGCCAGCGTGACGAAGCTGCTCTGGCGAGCCTGCACCAGCGCAGCACATGGAACGCCGTTTACCTTCCCGCTGGTAAGCGGTCCCTATTTATCTACTTGCACCCGGGGGTGCTTTCGAACTGCTAGGTTGGCAAGCGCTGGAACCGAACGACGGGAGCTCACCCCGCCACGGGGATTCGAACCGCCGACCATGCGATCGGCAAGTCCTAGGCGCTGAGGTTTTACCCACAGCGCCACCCGCGTCCCACTAATGACTGTATTAGAGTTTAGCTATGGATATAAATTCTGTCTTTTAATTTTATAGATCCCCCTGAAAGAGATTCAGCTGGGTTGTGAGATCCATTTTCCCACTGCCTCAAATAAAACTCTTTTTCCAGTACAGTTGAGCTTTAGCTGTGTGTGTGTGAATACACGTGACCATTCTATAGGCAAGTGGTGCCTTTGCTTAGGTAAATATTGCTCAATCTTGTGGGCAAATATGGTGAAAAAGGTCTGACCCAAAGAAGAACCAGGTCAACTCATAGGAAAATGAAACCATATAAGTAAAATCAAGAGTTATTTACCAAATACATATAATATATTAGGAACAGTATTAAATTTCAAGTTGTTGCTTTCTCTCTTTCTCCAATTCCCCTGCACCCTGCCACACCACATATCTGCTCTGGAGCATTGTGGGAAACTTCAAAACAAATTTGGGGGCACATGCAGGAGCAGGAGATGGTGGGGAAGTTCTGTTGCACAAGTAAAAGTTCTTGCATTAATGGGACAACTTCATTGGCTGAACCCACTAATAACAGAGCCATAGGCAAGCAAGTTCTCTGGGAGTGGTGGGACTTGATGATGTTACATCACTCCAAGAGGGAATTGGACACAAAAAATATGGTTGCCCCAATAGGGCAAGTCCTGTTGCTCCCAGGGGGACTTACTCTATTGTAAATAAAAAAAAAGTCTGGCAGCAAGGAGCTACATGCAGGAGCTGTTCCAGGCTGAGGGCAGCTGGATAACATAATCTGGAGCTTTTAAAGATAGCTTTGGACTCATGATATAAAATGGACTCTAAAATGATCTAATCTAGGTCATGATCCACCTGGATCAAATTAGCTTAGCCCACTTTTGAATCCAATATCGGAAGATTCCTCTCTCAAACTTAGAGTCGCATCCAGCCAAGTTTCAGGAAAGAAAGTGGACTTCTTAAAAGTAAACCTAAACATATCTCACTCAAATAGTTCCCAGCCTATGTAGCTTTTGTATTCACCTTAGGAACAGATTTAAAACAAAGCAAATTAAGTTTCACATATGAAAAGCATATTTTGCACATGTAGCAGCGATGTTGCAGGATCTTTCTGACCGAATGGGTAATTCCAGGATTTTTTAATGATTTTTTAAAGACGTCTCTTTTTCACTACATTAGTTCTATCCTTCCAATAGCAACCTCAGTTGTTACACTGCATAATAGAAAAGAAAAAGAACAAAAAAACAGAGCTCCATGAAATGTGTAGCTCCACCATTAAATCCAGGCACATTAGGTATTACACAGGATGGAGTGCGAAAGGTATCAAACATTTATTATTATTAATTATTATTGTTGTTGTTGTTGCAAATTCTCACATCTGAAATGGATTGAACAATGCTGCTTCAGCTGGAAAAAGCACAGCAGCTTTCCCAAAACAAGTAGCTGGAAGAAGAAAAAATGAAAAGATACATTGGAAATTATAATACATTGGAAAGCCAGCTTCTCAGTGAATCAAAAACAGTTCGGTCTGATGTTAAAATTAAGGACTGGGCCATCTGCTATTGAACTAACAATCTCAGATGAGGATAATGTATCACTTGTCAGCCATGACATCGCATACAGATCAAACACTTCTTTGTGCCAGGGCAGAAACCCACAGGAATTTGCCATCTTTTGCAGATGCACATTTGCTATCTAGGACTGATGTGTTGCTGAATTTATTGATCCAGAGAGGAAGCGAAACTTCAAGAGCTGGGAAACCAGGATTGTCCATAGAACTGCAAGCTAGTACGGGGATTGCAGATAAAAAGCAAACACCAGCTGAACCTCAAAATAGATTTCCTTCGTACATGACATTGAGAACTCAATACATTCTTTCATGCACACTTGCTATGAGCAATATAGAATGCTACTGACTGGATGCAAAGTTGCACCATATTACCTAATGTTGTGCTTTTTAAACCACGTATGGACACAGGGAGATGTGTGGACACACCTGAGTCTACGGATGTCCCAAAAGACCCCTTGAAAGGAATGGGATCTGCAGTACTCTTGCATGGTGGCCATTCTTTTCAATAGGCTTTGCACAGAAGAATTTTCCACTAGGGCTCTGCAAAAAGCCAATTCAGAGGGATCTAGAGAAAGTCAGGTGGAATCAGCCCTGGATTGCTCTAGGCTGGGTTCTGGAGTGATTCAGAGTTAGACTCCCAAGTTAGACAAAGTACCATAGAAAAATGTGTTTATTAGAAGAAATCCATACTAAAATGCTACTGAATTTTCATAAGGACTTCTTAAAAATCACAAACTAGTGTAGAAATATGAAGGACTGAGCTAAAGATTGCAAAAATGAAAAGCTGAGAGAAACCAAAACAGACTGGTTCACCCATCCACAGTTAGATCCAAACTTAGCTTTCCACCAATGAAAGAGCTCCTTTCTTCCATCTATGGAAAGCATGGATTCCAGTGAAGCGATTCCCGTAGCAGAAGGGTGGAGGGAGGTGGCAATTTTTGTGATCCCTCCCCCTCCCCCTCTGATGCCCACCTCAATATCCCAGAGGATTGCCCCCTGCCCTGTGGAGCAGGTTTTTGAAGAGCAAAAGGAGGTGCAGGTGGGAGAGTCAGCCACTGGGAGCAAAGTCTAGACTAAAGTCAACGTTTCACGAGGGCTCTGAGGATTCCCTGTTATGGTTCCTTAGCTCCCTTTGCAGGTCTACAACCTCCAAGACTCTTTGGGAAGAAGGAGTGTCTGTTGTACCTGTTTAAATCTGGTCAGGCCCCTCTCTAAGAATAATGTGATCATTGTTGCATTTGATTTTGAGCTGCATGATTCTTCTGTAGCATTTCCTCATTGACTGGTCTGTATTCATCCTGTAATATACTCCCCAATGCTGAGTTTTGCTGCTTTTGGCATATTTGTTCATTTTTATTTGTTCCTTTTGAAGTCTCTCGTCTTCCCCCCCCCCAAAAAAAAAGGCTTTAAAAATATTTGGCAGTGTGTGCAATGTCAAGTCCACCCCCCAGGTGTCAGATTGGGCTCTTCCCCAAACATAGCAATAGTTAGTTTAGCTGTGTATCATGTTTTAAAGTTTGTTCTGCATATAAGGAAGCTTCCACCCCACTCCCTGGATTTCTTTTGAAATGTGTCGAAAAATATGGGGGGTTCTATTTCATGCTGTGTTTCTTTTTCTTCTTTATTGACTGGTACTATTTGCATCCATCCATCTTTTTTACTTTGGTTTTCAGAAAAGGAGCAAATGGATTAGGTGGTGCTAGAAGGGGTGGAAGAATGTGTAGAAGAGAAGAAGCCACCACTCCCTCATGGCTCTTTCATATGTGAGTGATTGTTTTGCTTGAAGAATGGACTGATCCACAGCATACATTTAATGCACATGACTTCCCTCAAAAAATCCTGGCACTGCAGTGCTTCGGCCCCCACAGAGCCTCTACAAACGACACTGCATTCATGTACTCTTTACAAGTGACAGTTCCCAGGATTTCTCAGAGAATTTTACATTGAATGTGCTTTGAATGTATGGTGTGGATCTGCCAAGTGTTTCTCAAACCAGGGAGCATGGTGGGGAGTGTGCAAACACCAAAAATAGATCCATGGTGAAGGAGAATCTCCACCTCCATCGTTCTGCCCGGACACTGAGGTCCAGCGCTGAGGGCCTTCTGGTGGTTCCTTCGCTGCAAGAAGCCAAGTTACAGGGAACCAGGCAGAGGGCCTTCTCGTTAGTGGCACCCGCCCTGTGGAACGCCCTCCCACCAGATGTCAAAAAGAAAAATAACTACCAGACATCTGAAGGCAGCCCTGTTTAGGGAAGCTTTTAATGTTTAACAAGGTATTATATTTTAGTGTTTTGTTGGAAGCCGCCCAGAGTGGCTGGGGAAACCGAGCCAGATGGGCGGGGTATAAATAATAAATTATTATTATTATTATTATTATTATTATTATTATTATGGTGGGAAAGCTTTGAGTCTGAAGGCCACATTCTTTTCACTTCAACCTTCTGGAGGGGAACACATGCCAATGGTGTGTGGAGCCATAGGCAAAAGGGGATGAAGCACCGGATTCGAATTTGACCTTTGCACAGAAGGCTACGTTCCTACACTTGCACACACCCCTCTATCCTCCACCCAGTTCCCAGGAAGCCATGTTTGTTTAAAGTAGAATGACCCTGATTTAAATATCTCCTGGGATAGCTCAGTCGGTAGCGCATGAGACTCTTAATCTCAGGGTTGTGGGTTCAAGTCCCGCACTGGGCAAACGATTCCTGTATTGCAGGGGTTGGCCTAGATGACCCTTGTGGTCCCTTCCAACTCTACAACTCTATTACTTTATTCTATAAATAAATAAATAAATAAATGTAGAGCACAGATAGGGCCTGAGGGTTTAATTGTCTTGCTTGCGATCTCTTTGTCATTCCACCCCCCTTTGTGGGGGTGAGCAATGTGCTGTTCGTTGTGAACAAAGCACGCGAAAATGGGACGTTCAACCCACTGGAATAAAGGGGTAGAAATGTGATTGCAAGCCATGCAGTTAACACCATGTGTAGTTAGTTCCCAGCGATTACTAAGAGGTATGAATCAGTTAGTGAGTTCATGGGCGTCCGGGAGAACAGCATGAATCTCTCACCCAGCGTGAGGTGAGAGTGCAGCTCCCCAGAGGATTCTTGAGGTGGATGAGGGCAGAGGACCAGCAGCACATTGGGGTCAAGCCGTTCTGAACACATGCTAGCTCCACCTTCTGTTTAACTAAACTCAGTGTTCACTTGAGATACCCTGATGCCTTTACAGGAGGAGTGGACACCCTGTTTATCTCTGGAAATACAGGTAAAGCGAGCGACACTCTAATTTAGCTGATTGGTGTTCAGGGCTGGTGAACAGAGCCCTTGGTGCTAATGTTGGCCTCTGTAAACGGGAAGGGTTTGTTCCATGAGATTATGTGACATCGGAGCTGTCAGTTCTGGGGCATTAATTGACATCGTGTATCAGGTTAGGTTAATAATCTCCAGCTTGGTTCTGCTTGAGCAGGCCTGCATGCCGGCAGATAGAGATCAGTGATGAAAAACTAGCCTCCAAGGGAGGATGATCACACACGGCTTGGCCATTGTATCTCGAGACCTACAGACACAGAATCTGTTAACCATTCTGTGTTGCCTCTGGGAAGCAGCAGTCTTCGGGAACTGGGGTGTCATCAGCCAGTCTCACTCCCCCAGGAATGCCTGCGGCAATCAAAGCCGCTCCAGATGACAGAGGAATGGATCATGCAAACCAGGAAAGGATATTACCAGAGTGGGGGACAAACCATAGGGATATACCTGTTTGTTTCAGCAAGATGTCCCAAGAGTCTAGGAAGAATTTCCCCCATACCAAGCAAGTTGGGAATTACCTAGTGGGCAAAATGATCAACAAGGGCTCCTTTGCCAAAGTGATGGAGGGCTTTCACATCCCCACTGGGGAGAAGGTAAATGGAGAGTGGCTAGAAGAGAGTGAGGAATGTTTGCCACTAATTTCATGGTGATGTATGCTGAAGAAGTTTAGGGCTTTGTTTCTTCATCTGCAAGTGCAACCTGGTGCTTTATTTAGCTGAAGCAGCAATGCCCATAATAGTAATATATTTACCTGCTATCATGCTCTGGAATATTGCACCAGATCTAATATGTTAATATTACTGTGTTAGGTATGTTGTGTGTATAATTAGATGTTTTCGCTAACTTTTATGAATCACTGTTTTCCTATTTGTGATACCAATGAAACTTGTTTGATTCTTATTTGATTCTGAGTATCTGAAGTAGCTGTGCACCTACATTTTTGTAAATGTGTTGATGGATACACTGCTTATCTTCCTTGAGAAATTCAACATTCACGTTATCTAACAGAAGTGTAGAATTTGGGAGGCGGCATATGTCTGTACGTGCAGACATTCCACTGTGTGTTGCACAAGGAACACTTTTGCTGGAACAAATTATTAGATCATCATTATATCATGATCTAATTTTAGCAGATATTAACTGCAATCAAAAACTTACAAAGCTATCGACATTGAATATTATGACTTATTGCATGCAAACCACTAGCAGAAAAACTGCATCTTGATCCCATCAATGCTAAATAATATATATAAAAAATACATTTTTGTCTTTGACACTGTGCTGCTAAAGAAAAGTGGGTTGTCTGTATTGTTTAAAAAAATTGACAGCGTTTTTGTTATTTAGGTAGCCATAAAAGTCATAGACAAGAAAAAAGCCAAGCAAGACTCCTATGTTTTAAAAAATATGAAACGGGAACCTAGGATACATCAGATGATTAAACATCCCAATATTGTTCAGCTCTATGAAACGTTGGAGACAGAAAACTCCTATTACATGGTGATGGAACTGTGCCTAGGGGGAGATCTCATGGACAGAATTTGCGAGAAAAAGAAACTGGAAGAAAGGGAAGTCAAGAAATATACCAGGCAGATAATGTCTGCAGTAGAACACTTGCATCATCATGGGATTGTCCACAGGTACAGCAGATTTCCTTCCCTCAGTTTTATATTTCAGGGGGCATGATAAAACTTGTTTCATGAAAGTATCTGCTGAAGTCTTCCATTCAAATTAGTGAGATTATTAAGTGCTTAACTTTGATCAATTATGCCATATGTATATACCAGGCATGTCCAAAGTCTGTTTTGGGGTAAAATCCTAAAAAAACCCTCAGCAACTTCAGTCCTAAAAAAAAGCCCAACAACTCACACATGTTCACTTCATCAAATCTGGCCCTCTTTGAAAAAGGTTTGGGCACCCCGGTATATACAGCGGTACCTCGGTTTATGAACTTAATCCGTTCCAGAAGTCCATTCTTAAACTGAAACCGTTCTTAAACTTAGGTGCGCTTTCCCTAATGAGGCTTCCTGCCGCCGGTGCCCTTCCACTGTTTGGCTTCCATTCGTAGACCGAGGTAAAGTTCGCTAACCAGAGCACAACTTCCAGTTTTGCAGAGTTCGTATACCAAATAGTTCGTAAACAGGGCTGTTCTTAAACCGAGGTACCACTGTATTTCAGAAATATCAAATTATTTACTCACATAGAGCATCCATGCAGCCTTAAGGCAGTGAAACCACTAGGGTGAAGTGAATGTCTCATGGGACAGATGAAAGCATGGCACCTTGTCATTTAATTTGTTATTACATCCTTACTGCTGGAAAGAGAGAGAGAGGAAAAAAACCCCCACAACATTTGGATTTCCTGCTTCAGGTAATGAAATGTCTCAGGCTAGCTCAGTGTACACACACAGTGTTAAAGTAAACAAGTATGGTTTTGAGTGCAAACTGGGATTTATTAGGAGAATGAGCAAAAATGTCCATCATTTTGACAAGTGGGTCATTATATGTGGAGCACAGGGTCAGTGCCTCTGTTAGGCAGTGTGAGGTAGTTACCTCAGACAACCGATTTTGGCTGCCGTGAAAGGGAAGCAAATTTCTGGTTCTTGTTGCTATTATTATCATTATTATTGCTGCTGCTGCTGCTGCTGCTGCTGCTGCTGTTACTTCTGCTATCACTAGCAGAAACTTTTTGCCTCAGGTGCTAAACTGGAGTTGAGAGATAGAAGGGATTAGTTTGTTCAAGTCACTAGCAATGTGTAGTTTGAGGGGGTTTCTCCCCCCTCCAACTCACCTTCCTGAAACTCCCACTTTCTCTTCCCCCTGGAACATGAGCTTTGTAGTCTAATTCTGGCCTGATAGAGAAAGCCATCATCAGTCCCTGTTAGGGCCTGGAATACTTGTGCCAGTCCAGGTACTGATCCCAGGCCTGCTTCCCACTGCCCCATAATATGTCACTCTGTGGTATTTTTTTCTTGGTGGGTGGGAGGGAGAGATGCTTCAGGTTTCTGGACTTCAGTGCCAAGGTCCAGCATTGGCTGCATACTTTGCTGGAAAATATTGTTATAAGGCAACGAGTCTCTGGGGAGCTCTAGGGCAATTAAGTTATTACACTCAGAAAGGTTAGTTTAACATTATTTGCAGAGCAAAATATTATGTGCTAGATCCAGATTTGCTCTGGATTTCTACCAATTCTCCTCCTGTCCACATCCCCCAGTGCCAACTTAGGGTTGCCATATTTCAAACAGTGAAAATCCCAAAATTGTTGAGCTTTTCCGCCAAAAACGACACTGCCAACGTGGGTTGTCATATGTCTGGAATGTCCAAGGGAATTGCATGCTGAACTGACTAAAATCACCTCCCCACCATTCCTCCGGTAGGAAGTGCCCAATGAATGGAATTTTACTCACAGAAACTCTGGATCCAATCCTGTATTTCAAGACAACACATTTACTTTCTCTCCTGCTTTGTTTAGAGATCTGAAGATTGAAAATTTTCTTCTGGATGAAAACAACAACATCAGAATCGTTGGTAGGTGTACTGTATGGCAGACATACAACTCTCTTCTGCAGAGATTGTTTTTTGTTGCCTTGCACTTATACATAATAACTAGTGGCCAAATAAACAGCTATGGTGTCTGTGGGTTGTGATGGCCAGAGTGGAGAACCTAAAGCTGGGGGCTGGGAGTGGCCCCACAGGCCTCTCTGCTAGGACCTCAGAACTCTTCCCAGCCATGCCCACTCCCCTGGCCACCCCCTTCTCTCCCCAGACCACATCTTTCACACCTGCCATTTGCCTGGCTGGAATCTGTTTTTGAACTGTGCTTCTTCCTTGCCTGGGTGGAGAGATATGGGTGGCTGTCATAGAAACCTCTGACTTTTGCATGGCTGGAATATAGCTTACTATGCAAAGATATGAGTCACAGGTCTTGTTTCACCCACTCTTTTTGGGGGGCCTCTAAACACATCCACTTTTGCCTCTGGCCCCACCCAATGCCACCACTGTTGTGTGGCCCCTGGAAAGCTTCCCACAAGGGTATGCAGGCTTGTGGATGAAAAAAAATCACCACTCCTGCTGCAGAGGATACTCAACGTGAGATAAATGTGTGCCCTGGGGACAGAAGGACCTAGGAGTGGAAGGACATCTCTCCCACCACCACAACAATACACTCCAGAAAGAATCCATAATAAACAGATTAATTTGCTCAATATGCTTCTGAAGATCTGAAAGTTTTCTGGACTCCAGGCTGGGCTTAGATCAGGCCCTGGCGCAAGGTAATGGCCTCATCACTGCACACCATGACGAGAAGCCAAAGGCCCTGGTGCGGCCTTCCCTTCCCCACCCCCTGTTTATACATTACTCATTTCCCCTGGTACCCAGGGAGGATTCTGCCACACTCGCTTTCTGCTTGTTTAAATTAATTGAGCAGACTAGGCTCATACCCAAAAAAACACATTTTATATTAACAAAAGTCTTTAAGCAAAAGTCCACCTCAGTCTATAGAAATTCCAGAGGAGTTGGGTTAGACTTCATGTTTCACAAAATACACCCTACAAAAATGAAACTGGTGACCAAGTGTTGTTACTGGGCAGCCCACACTGCTTAGCCCTATTCTTTCATGTTTCTATAAACAATCATTCCCCTCTTTTTCTCCTCTCATGTTTTGAATGGTAAGATGCTGCCCACTTTGACTTTTGAAGAGTCATCACTTGGAAAGGTACACACTTGCCACTGTCCTCATTACCTGCCACCCTCATATAGTGGACAATGGGCTGCTGCGCCCTGGACTTTGTTCCAAGGTTCATCTCTAGTGTATCCAGGAAAAAGTGGGGAGTGATGTAATATGAAAACAAGCTGCACCAATCTCATTTAGATTAGAATGTTGCTTGCTTTGGTTAACTGGTCAATCTAAACTCTAAAGATATCTCCAAGATGTATGTTTGTGTGTGAAAATGTATAATTTTCTATGTGTTTGTTTCTTCAGATTTTGGACTGAGCAACATCATGAAGTTTGAGGGCCTTTCTCAAGAACTGTTAAACACTCAATGTGGGAGTCCAGCCTATGCAGCCCCAGAACTCCTGGCTCATAAAAAATATGGACCCAAAGTCGATGTCTGGTCCATGTAAGTAGATTGTGAATATTTTATTGCTCCTAAAGCACTTTAGTAGAGTTCTAGTCATGTGGTATTCCTGCCAGCAAATGATGGGCTTGTGATTTTGAACAATTCCCCTGGCAGCCCCTTCTTCCCCCACAAAGAAAGTATTCAAGAAATTTACATGCACATCATATACTCGAACATGTACTTTATCTGGACCTGTAAGAAAAAGTATTCTGTACAGTGCCCTGGAATTTTATAATGAAGGGTGGGGTATAGATATCTTAAATAAATAAATAAACAAACCAACTCAGATATTTATAAATCAAACTATTTCTTTTTTACTTTCAGGTAGGTAGCTGTGTTGGTCTGACACAGTCAAAATAAATTAAAAAATTAAAAAGTTGTCCAGTAGCACCTTAGAGACCAACTATGTTTGTTCTGGGTATAAGCTTTCGTGTGCATGCACACTTCTTCAGATATTTCTTTTTACGTTGCTGATAATATCTAGTCACATCCAGTCTCCAAGAATTACATTTATCAATTATATCCCAGCAATGTTCAGGAGAATGGGGGCCTCGAAGATGATAATTTTAATTTTAAGTGTGTGAGAGAGAGACAGAAAAACTTAGCTGGAGCTTTAGACATCAGTATACCAAATGAAGTTAAACGCACCTCAAGAATGGCAAGTGGGTTTCTTGATTTTTACAATGAGAGTAAAAACAAGAGTACTTTGATCTCTAGACTCACATAGCATTAGATTTTTACACTGCAATCATTGTATATGTTAAATTACTTGGTGTTGGTGATATATGAAAGTGAGTGCCTTTAGGACTACCAAGGCCTCTTTTCAACACCCTACCAGAATGTGGAATTCCTAAAGCATGGAAAATTTGAGGGTGAGAGAGGCGTTAGTATACAAGATGTTAATAGGGAGCAACAATAAGTTGTGAGGTTGACTTGTGACTGGAAACAGACAAGACATGAAGCAGGGGGATTTATTGACTGTCACATGCTACAGCTCTTCCATCCCTCTGAAACTGAGGGTATGAAAACTGGAATAAAACAGGTGTTCTGTAAATGCAGCTGATGGTGGATGAAAGCTAATCACATTACAGTCCTCCAAAGCATCTTAAATCTGATGCTGCAGTTTCTTTTAGGCTTGGAACCTAAGTTAAGTTAATGTGAGGAAATTAGGGAATTATTTTTTTCCGACTGCACCCCCTTGAGGGGCTCTCTGGATGGCCAGAGGCTCCTGTACAGCGTGGGATGAGGTAAGACTGCTGGGGAAGGGGAGGAAACATATTCTACAACTGGCATATTCCATTCCAAGAGTCACTAAATGCACAGCTTGCTTCTAAATAGTCATGTAGTATGTAATGGGGTGGAGGTGCACTTATTTTGCAGAAAAAAGAACAATTGTGTGGAAAGGGCCTAGAGTAGATTCTTGTAGATTGCTTGCTTATTCTATTATGTATGGATGTGAGCAGAAACCATCAAGTTTGGTTGATAGTAGCAACTTGGTTGACAAAGTATATAATGCTAACACACATCAATCTATCACTGTATTCCCAAGCATCACACATGCATTTTATAAAGCTCTTCTTGCTCCACTGATGTGACTGTTACTATCTTTCTCCCTGGCAGAGGAGTTAGCATGTTTGCCATGCTAACCGGCACGTTGCCCTTCACTGTGGAACCATTTAATATCAAGCAGTTGCACCTCAAGATGGTGAATGGTGAAATGAATCCCATTCCACCCAACATTTCCACTGGTAAACCATACCTGGCTTTGTATTATACACATGGAGTTTGATCCAGCCAAAGTAAGCACTTTTGAGTTCCTTTGACTTCAGGGTCAGCCCAAGACGTTTTGTTGCCAGAGGCGGAGCTGTGAATGCCACACCCTCCCATCCCCTAGCCACAGATTAAGGGACATACTACCCAAGGCCCACTAAGTTATTTTGGCACCTGAGCAGAAAAACTCATAAGCACAAATACCTTTCCCTGGTGGTCAAATTACAATCATAGTATAATAAATTGCAGGCATTTGTTGCCTTTTCAGGACACCCAAAATAATCTGCCTGAGCCACCCACTAAACTCTGTCTAATGGTAGAACCGGCCCCGCTTGTCTTCCTTGGAAAAGATGTAGGTACATGCTTTTAACACTCCCGCTGAACTCTCTGAACTTAACTTTGGCTGGATTGTCCTCATAATGCTTAATGTTCATAGAAAATGTGACACAAATAAGTTGTGATTTCATCTGCCATCAATCTTGTTAAGGAGTAACAACATCTATGAAGCACTTGTTTGTGATTTATTTTGAAATGAGTGGCTTTTTCTTTGCAAGCATCTTTGGATCTTCCCACGGCATTTCCTGCGCACACTGCCCAGACATTGTTAATCCTCCCAGGTGACCCTGCCACAGCCAGCAGGCATTCATTGTCATTAAACAGTATTTGCAAATGCTCAGTCCACCAGTGACAGCTGTCAAATGACAGTGATGTTTGGTCCAGCAAAGAGAACTATTGTGCGTGTTTCTCTGAGGATGGAGGCTATGCTAGCATCACTAGTGTCACGAGCACCACTTTGGATGCTACTCATGGCGCCTTGCAAAATGAGCCACAGCTAAAACACCACCTTCCTGTACCACATTTAACGACCTCCCACTGCTTCATGGCTTTTCCATAATTTTAAATATATGAGCATATTTAAATTTTATGCTAATAAAGTTTTGTGTGAAAGAAAATGCTGATGCAGTTTCTCCTCCTTTTTGGCAATGTATTAATGACAATAATTATGAAATCATTGTGACTAGGTGGATGGGACAACTCAGAAACACCTTCTGCAATAAGAGACAAGTTGTGCTGGTCACTATGTAACTTGATGAGAACAGGAAAGCCATTTATGTACAACTTCCATTCAAAAAAGATTTGGGTTGGTTTTTGTTACAAAACCAAAGTTTTTTTTAAAAAAAATGGTTGTTGCTTTATTATGTTTCTGTAAATGCTGGAAGCCGCCCAGCGTGGCTGGCGCAACCTAGTCAGATGGGTGGGGTACAAATAATGACTGGTCCCACATCTAATGGGGGTGCCTTTTGCATGGTCGCACGCAGCCCCCGATCCCAGTGTGACTCCTGGTAGTTCGGGCTGGCTTCATCCTCCCCAGGCTGGATACCTGGAGGTCTCCGCCTACCTCAGCCAATCACCCAATCCCGCCTGGGAAGGCATTGCCAGGGGATTGGCTAGGTAAGGGGAGGGACCGTCCTGCCCACACAACAGAAGGTGAATCTTACCTGCGAAGCGGCAGTCGGCTCCTACTACTACTGTGTTCACAACAATTCTGCACGCATCTCAATCTGGCTAACCCAACTTGTAGTGAGGTCACCCATCATGACTTGAAAACAGGGCAGCGACCTGCCAAGGCAGCTTTATGCTTCTGCTCCTCCTATACCTACTGAATTACCAAGCAGCCCAGGTCAAATAGAGTACCACTGTTATTGGAAGTGTTGTCTGCCACCCTGCAACATTATAGTTGTCAGGTCCAGACAAGGCCAAACCTGGACAGCTCTACCCAAATTTAGGCAGCGAGTGAAATGTGCTTCCCCACCCCAGGGTAGACTGAAGGTAGACTTACGGAAGATCTAAAATCCAGGCCTGAAGACACTGGCAGAATTCACTGCTCTTCTGACCAGATGAAGGTCATGTTCATAATGTGTGTGCCAAATATAGTCAATCTAGAGGCTCCATACTGCCTGTCAACTGTGGAATTTTATTGTTCACCCTTCTATTTCCTTATGTGCCTGAAAGAAGATCTGATATTTCAACAAAGGTTGTCCTGGGATTCTCATTTGGTTAAACAGGCTGCAGAGCTCTTGATTTAAGCTTTGGAGTCCCTGCAACAGCTTAGGTAAATTAGGTGGGTTGCAAAAGCACCCGATGATTCATTCTGGTTATACTGTGGTGTCAGTGTTTAGAACTTCAAAGCTTACTATTTTAAGCATTAAAAATTAGGCCACCCAAAATGGGTTCTAAAAGGAACTTAAGTACCAGTATATATAAAGTACAAATGGAAGTATAAAGCTTCTTGTGTAATGCATGAATTCATGAGTCTGAATGATGCTCATGGGCCACTGGTGGTCCCAGACCACACTTTGGGAACCCTTGAACCACACCTTTCTAGCAGCAACTCTCCAGGTTTTTAGGTAGGGAGTCTCTTTCCCAGTCGTACATGGAGATGCTGGGAATTGAATTTGGGACATTAAACACCTGTTTATCAAATAGTTAACAAAATTAAATCCTCTGAGGGCATGTCTTTGCTGATGTGAACTTAGCAAGTACGAGGTCTAAGGCCAGAGAAAGACAAACTGTAATGCAGGCTATTTCTATAGCTAACATTGTTTTGTTGGAATTTCTGCCCAGGAGCTGTTCATTTCATGCACTCTTTACTTGAACCTGATCCAGTCAAGAGACCTGCTATTAAAGAGGCAATGAAAGACAAATGGCTGAATGACGGTAATATCAGGAAACCACTGAATCCATGTACATATAAAAATAGGTAATTCTTTTCGAATTTTGTCTTCTTTGTTCATTTTCGCCTTATGAATAGCATTTCCTAGGCATAAGGCCAATGCAATTATTTCTCGTCCTTCCTTTAAAACAAAACAAAACTAGAACTGGATCATTTTAATGGGGCACATATAAAGTCCAATCCAAGCCTGTTAGAGGCACTTCCTGGTTCCTCTTAAAACTTTTAAAGACTGACAGAATTTGAATAAATTGGTTCCGAATAGCGTTCTTAGACAACATTGTCCTATAGGAGAAATGCCCCATCCCTAAGCTTAGGACTGAAACGTGTGATTTTTAAATTAATATACAGAACTTTCACTGACTGAGGCCAACAGCCATTGTTTGAGCTGTTCCACTTCAGATTGCTGGTGGGGACTCTATACGTGACTGACAGTGGGTTACCTGCGTTTCAGAGAGAGACACTCCCAGCCCTTCCTGGCGATGCCAGAGATTGATCTAAGGGCATTCTGCATGCAAAGCAGATGCTCTGCCACTGAATTACACAGTTGTTCTCCAAAAAAATTTGCACTGATGTAGTGTTACTGGCTGAACATATAACTGAGTGGCAGTAATTATACAAGTGACATAATATGTAAGTTTACCCAGTGCGGTGTAGTGGTTAAGAGCGGTAGTCTCGTAATCTGGGGAACCGGGTTCGTGTCTCCGCTCCTCCACATGCAGCTGCTGGGTGACCTTGGGCCAGTCACACTTCTTTGAAGTCTCTCAGCCCCACTCACCTCACAGAGTGTTTGTTGTGGGGGAGGAAGGGAAAGGAGAATGTTAGCCGCTTTGAGACTCCTTTGGGTAGTGATAAAGCGGATTATCAAATCCAAACTCCTCCTCCTCCTCCTCCTCCTCCTCCTCCTCCTCCTCCTCTTCTTACCTCTACTGAGATCCAACCCATTACCATTGTTGCTCTACTGCAGCAATAAGATTGGAGAAATGGTGGGTGAGGCAGGATTTAGGAGCTTATAGGCAGGCTGGGGAACTCAAGGGAGATTTGCAGGAGGTGTTCAGATAAATTTTGAAATTGGGATCAGGAAGAAAACAAGGGTTCTTTTGTTGTAGAGGGGAATAACTTTGTTGAGTGAGCAGTTAACCAGATTGAGCCCAAGAGTTCCCTCCATCCCTTAGAAAGGACTGACAAAACCCGGGTCCAGGAGGAAGAGACGCTGGATGAAGATTGGATTGTTATTCTTTCTTTTTTATTATGATTGTTTTATAAAATTGATGAATGTTAGAAAGATGTTGAAACGAAATTATTTGGCTCTAGGAAAAATGTTTAAAGAATTATGTAAGAATATTATGGTTATGAAAAATTGGTAAAAATAAGATTTAAGTTTTAAGTTTTAAGGTTTTCATAGTAAGATAAGATTAAAATAGATTAAGGTAAAGTAATGACAGAATATCATGAAATATGGAAAGGATTTGCTGTGACAATTAACAACTAGGATACAAAAAAGGGAGGAGGAAGAGGTCAAAGAAAGAAGGTAATGACAGTTAAAGAGTTGAGAATATGGGATTTGTTTTTAAATGTTTGTGACATATTTTTGTTTTTTAATTGTGTTGTGTTATTTTTTGATCTTGATTTTTATTAATCTGTATTGTTGGATTGTGGTTTGTCTTTTCTCTGTTTTTTCTTTCTTTTTTCTTCTTCTTTGTTTTCTTTTGTAATTCTAAAATTTTCAATAAATATCATTAAAAAAAAAAAAAAAGAGTTCCCTCCATCCCTGTCACCAAAGCATCTTGTTTTTCAGACTTCGCCCTGATGAGCTGAATCCTGTTGTTTTGAGTTACATGACGGAAACACTGGAACTCAATCTTTCGGATGTTGTCAATGTCTTGATAAACAACAAGCCATCCTATATAATGGCAACATACTACTTGCTGTTGAAGAAATTAATTAGATATCAGAAAGAACACGGGACAATGAAGGTGAGGTGTGAATCAGTGACTGGATTAGTGAATGCATGTTGCCTGTACCTTGCCTGCAGTTCTGAAAACATGGGGCCTGCATCATTTCTTGAACTCCGGGGAAGCCAGTTCTCAGTGGATTTTTAGTCAATGTATTTCTAGCTAGATGTAAGTCAGGTTATTAATTTCTAGATCTTCCTTCCTTGGGTTTACTAGATCTTCCATCCCTGGTTTAGATTTCTGCATCCCAAGAAGTGGTGGGCGTGGCAGAACCACTGGGGAGCTATGCTTGCAATGCACATTTGGTGGTCCTCAATCCCAGAGAGTAGATATGGCTGCATTTTATCATTCCTTTTCCTGGTGTTGAAGGGTTGGTGTTTGGGCAATGGTGAGAGCTAAGGATGCTGCATGCCAAACATCTCTAATGGAGGGAAAGGAGATAATGTGGATACTGCACCTGCCCAGCGTGATCCTACATTGATGGAGTGGGCAACATTTGGCAGGAGCAGAGGATAGATATTCTGGCTTGTTAATAGACATGGTCTTTCTGACGGCGTTTCCGTGCGCTGCTCTGGTTCGCCAAAAGCGGCTTAGTCATGCTGGCCACATGACCTGGAAGCTGTACACCGGCTCCCTCGGCCAATAAAGCGAGATGAGCACCGCAACCCCAGAGTCGGCCACGACTGGACCTAATGGTCAGGGGTCCCTTTACCTTTACCTTTACTCTGCAGTTTCTAATGGAGTTGTCTGTCAGATGACAGAGGTGTGTGGGGGGGGGGGGAATCTGAGTTGTCCTAGGGAGCGATTATGGTTCTTAGACTGAATACTACTTTAACTTAGAGCAGGAGTGGGGAACCTTTTTGGACCAGTGGCCCAGATCAATAGAGATTTTGAAAATATTGCATTGTTTATAAATGATTTTAAGTAAAAAAATATCAATAAATTCTCCATCCTCAAGGGCCAACTTTGACAGGTAGGTTGGACCACCCACCAGTTGGTTATCCAACATTATAATGATGTCAGGTGATCGAAAACTTAGTGCACAGCACTTCCCAGTCACCAAGCATAAGACTTGCAAATCCTCTTGTGCAGCATTTTCTGAGGACATGAAAAACAGCTGTTTGTCAGACACTTGGAAAATACTGCACAAGGGGCTTTGCAAGCCCTGTCCTTTGGTACTTGGGAAGTGCTGAGCAGCAAGACTGCATACACGCCACACATTTAAAGCACATCATTTCTGCCAAAGAATCCTGGGGATTGTAGCTTACCCCCTCACAGAGTTAAAGTTCCCAGGATTCTATGTAGAAAACAATGTTCTTTAAATGTATGGTGTACACACAGCCTATGCGTGTTCATTGGTATCATTTTTGTTTAAAGCAAGTAGCTTTCCCACTTGGAAAGTAAAGAATTGCTTAAAATGACCTGGAGCAGATTAACTTGTGTTTGCTAGTAGCTAGAAAAGCTTTCTTGCTTGACACAGGAGTTGTTTTTGTGTATGTTATGCAAGCTTCTGCCTTGCCTTGGCAATTTACCTTGCTGTTACGTTATCATTTTTGTTGGGTTATGTTGCTGTTAGTTGTATGTTTTGGTGCTGGTTTTGGACATTTTAAACTCTTTTGAGCTCTGCTTGCTGGAGTGAAATAATGAATAAAACAATAATATTTCAGTGTCAGGGAAGGTGTGAAGCAGATCACACTGGAAACCTCAAACATTTTAAGGATTTCTCATTGTTTTCTTTGAGAGGTTGCAAGGCCATATAGTACATGTTTCATTTTAGCCCTGAGTTTTTAATGCAGAGATTCAGGGCTTATTAAACAAATAAACAGGCAGGGGGACATCTTGGTACTTACTTAGAGCCAAATTACTTTAGGCATCTTTATGTTTTCCCTCACTGGTAACCATCACTCTTAAGAGGCTAGCAGCTCAGTCATAAACATCTTGCTCTGTGTGGACAGGAAGCCAAAATCTAACTTTAAAAGTGTAAATGGTTTGGGAATATTTGACCAAAACCAACATTTCTTAGAATACACATTAGAATGTCCAATCCAGGGCGAAAGCTTGTTTTGATAAGTTTGACTCATGAAGTTATGGCTCTGTGCAAATTTTCAGTATATTGCTTTGGCATACTTAATTATTTTGGAACCTTCCCGGAAAGTTCAGGGGCCTCTAAAGTTGGGGGCGAGGGTGGTTCAATTTATCTTGGTCCGAAGCCCTGGAAAGCCACTGCCAATTGGCAGTGGCGTAGCGTGGGGGGTGCAGGGGGTGCCGGCCGCACCGGGCGCAACATCTGGGGGGGGCGCGCTCGCACTCGCAGCTCTCTGCCCCTACCTGGCTCACTCACTCTCTCTCACTGCAGTGCTGGCTGTGCGAATCCGATCCGAGCCGCTGGGTCGCCGCCCACTGTGGAGGGGGTGGGTGCCAGGCGGGCGGTGCGGAGAGAGAGCGAGGGACTATCTGGGGGAGGGACAGTGCAGAGGCCGCCCAGCGCAGCGCTGAGCGCGGGAGAGAACCACACCAGACCAGACCAGGCAGCAGCAAGAAGAAGCTGGCAGCGGCGGCAGGTTAGGGGGCGCAAATTACTTGCCTTGCCCCGGGTTAGGGGGCGCAAATTACTTGCCTTGCCCTGGGTAAGGGGGCGCAAATTACTTGCCTTGCACCGGGTGCTGACAACCCACGCTACGCCGCTGCCAATTGGTAGACAATACTGAGCTGGAAGGACCAATGGCCAAAACATAGTTTCTTGTCTTCATAAAGTCAGCTCACAAGAGTAGTTCCAGAAACAGCTCTTGTCACAAAAGAAATAATGTGAGCAACTTTCCCTAAAGACTTCTGGGAACTGTAAGTTGCTAAGGGTACTCAGAATTGTAGCTCTGTTAACTCCCATGATTCTTTGGGGAAAGTCTTGTGGTTTAAAGGTGCATGAAATATGCTTTAATTTATGGTTTGTGTGCAGCCTCTCCAAAGATTTTAGACACTTTTCTTTATTTTTACTGCCTAATGGTTACTACATATGCTCAGGTGGAGAGTGGTTCAAAAATTAGATGGGCCTTGTTAGGGTTTTAATTCTTGCTCATCGGAACTTTCAGGAATTTTGTAATGAAGCTGTTTCCAAGACTCGCTTGATATTTGCCTGTTCTCCTGTATTCCAACACAACCAGGGGATCATGTAGTGACATGTGAAATATGCCAGGGGAATTGCAGGGGGCAGAACTAGATGACCCTCATGGTCCCTTCCAATGCTACAATTCTATGATTTCTCTACATGTGACTTTGCTCATGGGCACATTATAGGGTGGAGGTGGTTGCAGCAAGCACATGTTTATTTCACACCAGGGTGTATGGCATCATGGGTTTTGTAGTCTTAAGGCTAGATTAACATTTTGCATGCAAAGTTCATTCCGCAACTGATACTGTAGGATTTCACGATATAACAGTGCCATCACATTGGTTGATATAAACCCTGTTGCAGAGTTTAGCACAATTGCAGAAGATGATTTGGCCAAAAGCGTGAAATGCTGTGAAAGTGATCACCAATATAATAATACCTAATTTTCATTCAAGTGACTGTGTAAACATGACAACCATGAAAACACCTTGGTGCAAGATGAATGCAAGACAGATTTGTTAGAAACATGGCAGATATCAGTATGACCACCTTAATTTTTCCAAGAGATATTGCAAATGCCAGTATTCTGTTGTCTTTAAATGTTGACAACAAGCCAGATATCACTTTTGCTTCATCCTCTTGACATTCTGCCATGCCTGGAGTGAGGTGCAGACACAATGAACCCATTGATATTTGAACACTTGAAACAAATAATTTACAACAAAGTGCTATTGAATAAATAACTGAAAGCTTCAAATAAGCTAAATAACTTTCCAGTAAATTCCTATGCTGAAGTCATATTTTCCCTCTAGATTGGATTTCATAAATGCTTTGCAAGCAGCTATGCATCCTATATAAAAAGGAGAACATTAAAAAAAAAATCATTGGGATTTATTTTCTGACATGGATAACGGAGAAAGCCAGATACTTTCACTAGCCTCCTGTTTGGGTTGTAAAATAAAATGCAATATGAATTTAAACAAGGCGCATCTTAATGCTCCGATGGGGACAATATGGAGCAACTTAAGAATCCCTTGACCTGCATTTGAATCAGATAGAAAAAAACAGAACCTTGGAAGTTCAAGGCTGAAATCTTCTACTATCCTCATTTTCTCTGTATCGCTACCCCAGCAGATCTGTTCCCTGTGGTCCTTTAACTAGTGCTTAGTGAGGACTTCATGAGTGCTTTCAACTCCATTTGTGCACTAACCAAAAAGTCAAAAGGTCTTCTCTTCATAAATTCTTCTGATATTAACTCTAAACAGTTCCCTTGTGAATTTCATCTGTCATTCCAAGTTGTACTTCTTTTACATTGCCATAAATACTTTCTCTCTCACGTTGGCTTTTAGGCTCATCAAGAAAGCCATCCAGCTAACTTTATTTTCCCCTTGACTTTTGTTTATCCAAGATATATGGACAACTCTTACAATAAATTCTCAGGATAGCAGCAAGTTCGCACATCTATTGTTCCTCACTCAGCGAATGCAAAATCTGATGGCTAAGACTGAATGTATGAAATGGCCATCAGTGATAAAAACCACAGGCAGAACTTTTGTACAACTTCACATCGCTTTAGGCATAATACAGTTCAGCAGAGGGCAGCAGCATTCACTGATCTTCAGCATTAGAGCTGGCTCTGCCATTAGGTAGAATGGGGCAACCATCTCAGACAGCAAATGCTGAGGGGCAGGAAGCAGTGGTGAGGTGCTGAAGGACAGAGATTTATGTTCCATGCAGCCTACTGCCCACAATTATTAAGGACCATGGTGTCCTACTGCCTGTGTCAAAGTAAGAGTCAACTGTCAGTCCAGTGGACTTATATAAGCTGAATCGGGTCTTCCCATCGTCTTCTTTGACTCAGACAGCAACATGTCTTGGAGTGGCTGTTCTCAACATTATTGAACTGTTTAGGGCAGTGCAGGGGGAGAATGGAAAAGTTTCTTTCGCTGCATTTTATGTACTATTGCATCAAGCCATTAACTATTTGCACATTAAAAAAACCCCAAAACCGACAGTATCCATTCCTTCCTGATTGCTTCTCCATAAGGCTGTATGTACAAGCTGCTGAGTTGAGACCCTGGGGAATGGTGGGTTCATGGGAAAGAGAGGGGCCATTTGGTCTACGGTTTGAGCATATCATACCAATCCTGGCACAACTGCAATGGCTGCCGATTACTTTTCAGGCCCAATTCAAAGTGCTAGTGTTGACCTATAAAGCCTTACATGGCTCAGGACCTCAATACCTTAAGGACCACCTCTCCCCATACGAACAGACCCAGACCTTGTGCTTGTTATCTGAGGCCCTTCTCTATGTCCTCTCTCCCAGAGAGGTTCAAAGGGTGGCAACAAGAGAATGGGTTGTTTTCTGCTGCTCCAGAGAAGCGGACACGGAGCAATGGATCCAAACTACAAGAAAGAAGATTCCACCTAAACATTAGGAAGAACTTCCTGACAGTAAGAGCTGTTCAACAGTGGAATTTGCTGCCAAGGAGTGTGGTGGAGTCTCCTTCTTTGGAGGTCTTTAAGCAGAGGCTTGACAACCATATGTCAGGAGTGCTCTGATGGTGTTTCCTGCTTGGCAGGGGGTTGGACTCGATGGCCCTTGTGGTCTCTTCCAACTCTATGATTCTATGATTCTGTGGTGGCTCCCCAATTGTGGAATGCACTCCTTAGAGAGGCTTGCCTGGTGCCACCATTACATGTCTTTGGATGCCATTTTACTATTAGGCTGTCTCTCAGTATGCTTTTTACTATGCCTTTATTATGTTTTATCATTGATGTTTTGCAATGTGTTTCTAATGTTGTACAGCTCCCTGAGATCTTTTGGTGAAGGATGGTATATAAATTGAAATAAATAATAATAATAATAATAATAATAATAATAATAATGCATATGGGCATTGCTGAGGAACAGTACTGTACTGACATAATATAGCAGTCAGCTTCTGCATAAGTTTTTAAAAACTAGTAAAATAACTGTCCTAAAAACAATTTAAAAAACACCACACACACTATAAATGCCTGTGCAGACATGTTGGGAGTTAGGTGTTGCTCAACACCAGTGATGTCACAAGAACTAGCTAGTAGGTGCCTATGAAAGTGGTGTAAATACACTACACAGAACACTACAGGTTCTAATAGATAGGCTAACTGAGTGGTGTGTGTGACATTTTCTCATTGCCAAAAAAAAAAGATCTTTGAGTATTGAGAGAATGTGATTTCCCACAGTAGACACAAGGAAAGAGATTTGATTCCCCACCCCCTCATCAACTAAGTCATAACTGTGCTTTGGTTGTCCAATAAAACTCTTTTCTGGAAAGACCCTAAAGGTTCGATTTATTAAAGTTTAACTTCTCACTTTCTAAAATCCTGACTGCAAACAGCTGGTCACAAAAGATTTAGTTTTAGGCATGATAGTAATTTTGTTTGGTGGGAAAACCTACTGGAAATTTGGCTTTTAAATGACTACAGGCAACCGAAACCCTTTTTCCACGATCAGGCTTGAGCCATAAATTATTGGATAAGCATAAAACATGGCCTGTCCTTTTACACACTGTGATTTCTCCAAGCAACCTGTTTGCATTTTATGTGTTTTGTTGTAGAAAAGAGAGCCTAATGATTACAATTTGCCATCCAAAACTTTATAGTTAAGCCTTCCAGAAATAGTGTTCCTGCCAAAAAGCTTCCTGCCCAGGTGCTTAACCAATTAGCTCTTAAGAGGCCTGGCTATAAAAACGAGCCATGGCAAGTTTTCTGATGTACTGTATATAACGTGACAGTTTGCAAAATCTAAGATGAAAATTTGTTTTCTTAACCAGGAGTGTGCAAAATCCTGAGAGACGCTTTGATTGCTTTGGCTAAAATACTTATGTCATCTCTTATTCCCCACTGATGCAGTGTGGTTTGAGCAGTACAGTTGTTGTTGGTTTTTTAAAAAAAACTTACCCAAGTTGCTCAAGGACAGAAAGTCCTTGAAGATAACGGATATAACCGCATTTCTGCAAGTTTTGAAAATATTTGATAGGGACAGATGAACCCACAGGAGTTTCAGATTCCCAAAGTGTTTCAGATTCCAAGAGACTCAGTCTTTTAATGTACTCTACTAAGGCTCAAAATTCATTCAAGCATTGGGAGAGCCAGTCAGCCTATAAATTTTACTTGCTTCGAATAAAGATTTCTATAGGATAGATTAACAAGGAAAACCTTTCCTGTAAAAACAGTGGCTGTCAAGGTTTAATATTGTACTATATTGGATTCAGTGTCCAACTATCTATTAAGACATGTCAGCATTATACATCAACGGTGCTATCTTTGGCTCTTTTACTCAGAAGATTTGTTTATGTATTTAGTTATAGGCTGTTTTTCTACACTGCCCTTCATCCACAAGGATCTGGCAGGTAGTGCACAAAAGTACATAAAATAGCAAATAAAATCAAAATATCAGTTTAAAAAAACCATTCAACCAATTGCAAAAGTTCAGCCCTTGGGGCCAAATCCAACCGTCAGTCCTCACCCGAATGCCTACATGAAAAGGTGTGTCCAACAAGGTGTCATGGACTGGCTGGATGCAGAAGAGTGGCGGGAGGCCCCAGCTGGGGAACCCTCGAGGGAAGAAGGCTCAGAGCCAGGGGCATGGTGGTGGGACGATGATGAATGATCAGAGGGAGAAGAGGGGAAAGAGTGGGAGGAGGAGGTGTCGGAAGCTGAAGAGGTAGCAGGATTTCGTGAGCAGGAGGAAACTGTGGCAGAGAGTTGGACAGACTCAGAGGCAGGAGAGGAGGGGGCCCAGGAGACAGGCTACTGAAGAATCCAGGGAGTCTCCTACCCTTGCTGTGATCAGTTCCCCTCCCACCCGGTCTCCCAGAACACAGAGAGGAATGAATACGGTGGAGCAAAGAGAGACAAGATGAAGTTGCCTTAGATTGCTAAGGTAGGACCTGAGCGGGGAGGAGCCTCACTGGGGCTAGACCTACTGGGAAGTGTTGCTGCGATCACTAGGCCCACACTGCTTTGGTTTCTTTGAATAATGAGTTAACTTCACTGACACTGGGTGTTTTGTTACTGACCTGCCCTTGACTCCGGCTCCTGACACAAGGCATGTAGTTAAGTGGTAGAGGATGTTTTGCACGTAGAAGATCCCAGCTTCATTCCATGGTACCTGCAGCTGTAAGTGGTGTGAAAAACGTGTGCCAAAGAGCATGGAGCGCTGCTGGCAGTCACAGTAGACAATATTCTGCTCAGTGGACTAATGGTCTGGCTTAGTATAATACTGTTTCCTGTATTTGGGTTATGGCTCTACCAACAGATACCAAGTGCAGCTGGAGAAAAGGAATTTCTCATAACAGCCCTTGTTTTTATACTGTTGGTTTTATTGTACATAGATTATTTATTGCAAAAAATGTAAACATCCTATTCCATAGTCTTTGCAGTCACAATACCAGTTTTCACAGATTTAGAGTTAGCCAGTTTAGCTGCAGACTAAGTTTGTTGAACCTAGTTCCCTCTGAAACCAAAGGGACTTAACTTGATCACGACTAGCTTTTCACATTGGACCCCTCTTCTTAACCTACCCTAGTCTAGTAACAAAGTCTACATCCCACCTAGATACCTGAACTTACCACGTTGCAGTTTCTTATCACTTCAGCTTTTCCATGTATGGTAGTATTACCAGTGTCTGATATGTCTACAGAAGGAAAGTACCTCAGAAAAGTTTGATGTTAAACTTCCTGGGACCCTAAGCCAAGATGCAGATGATATGCCAGCTTCTCAAAAGACAGAACAGGTTACAACAGAAAACTTGAAAAGCTGTGAGAATAAAGTGTTTCCTTCTGTCCTGAACTCAGAAATGCCATATGCTATCCAGGAAGATGAAATTGCCATCACTCTGGAAAACCAAGGAATTTTACCAGAAGGTAATATGTGCTGCTTATCTTCATAATCTGGAATGCGGTTAACTGTACAAAGGCTGGGGTGAGTGGGACTTTAATTGAAATTAAGGTAACCAAGGGAGATAAGTTACATCAGGAGTAGGGAATTTCAGGTCCAGGGGCTGCCAGGCTTCTATGTGGCTCTCCCTTCAATGACCCTGCTGCACACCCTGAATGTTTTTGCCTGACTAGAATGTTTCCTTGAACTCTGGTAATGTCTTGCTTGTTTGAATGGAAGATAGAGAGGGGATTGTGTGTTTAGAAACTAGCCTCCAGTAACAAGGTAAAGTTTGAATTTGGTGCTCTACACACCTTCCCCTCTGGCCCCACACTGTACTGGCATGTGGCCCTCAGAAAAGAATGAGGCCCTCAAACTAAAAAAAAGGTTTCTTACCCCAAAGTTACATGGTAGGCAGCACTGTTACCACTGCTGTTGTAGGGGCACTCCATGCAAAAAACCTGGGAATTGCAGGTAATGCCCTCCATGAGCAAGTGGCTATCTAAAGCATATCAGTGTGCATTAATAGCAAAACTAATTCATTGAGTCGGAATGAAAGAAGGAAAACAAAGATGAAACAATTCCCCTCCCTTTTTCCAGCACTTTATTTAGAGGCACAAGAGAACCAATATAGGTACTTGCAAGAGCATAGTGGTTTCTTTTGTCCAAAAAGCAAACAAAATACAGTATGGGTTTCTATCAATTTATAGATATTATATTTGAAAAGCAGATATGTAAAGCATATATGTTTTATCTATGTCATTCTAAGTTTTTTTCTTTCTTTCTTTTTTTGGAAAATTAATTGTTTTTAACCTTAACTTACATCAGAGCACCTTAGCTTATTGTTTTAAAGGGAAAGGATAGGCCAGTATGAGCAAGAGGAAGGAGAATTTTTTTTAATAGTTCCTCTTTTAGCCTTTTGGCCCCTTGCCCACCTTTCACACTGTTCCAGAGTGTCCCCTAACTTTCCAGAACACCTTTGGAATACTAAGAGAAGGAGAAATCAGCAAACATTAGCTTCCTTCTTCCTGCAGGAGAAGTGTCCCGTGAGTGGAGATACTCTCACAGGAACCCTCGATCCAACTTGTCGTCATTTCTCATCTACAATTAACCCAGATGTGTTGTGACTCATGGCCAGTCATGACATAAAATTTATATCTGGACATGATGAGCAGATGATATAACTGGGCCTCTCATGAAGTCTGGAAGGTGCATATGTATACAATTCAGCACGTGTCTTTTTAAATATTGGAAGTGGCAACTATGAAAGGTTTTAGCTCCCACTTTTAAATATCTTAAAGGGACATGCATTGCACCCTTAATGCTTGTAAGAGGGAGTATTTCATTGCAAAACAAGTCAGAGTGTAATATTCTCTGCAAAATATAAAGTGCAAGTTTGTATTTACTAGCATTACTCAATGGTTTCATGTAGATGTTGAATGACATGGGGGGCAAGATAGAGCTAAACAGTATTCCCCCAACACTTAGTGTACCCCTTCTTATTTTTACCAAATTTTTTACCTTTTATTATCATTTTGAAAGAGCAACGTCCAAAAATCTTATCATCATACCAAATGTCAATCACAAATTTGAAGTATAACACATAGTGATATCTCTACTCTTTACTGCAACTATAATTTCTACATAAACTGATTTCATATACTCTATATTCCATTTAGTTTCCAAGTTTGCAGACAGAGAATTGGTTCATTTTGAACCTCCTAAATCTCCAAATAAATATTTTTCATGTGAGCCATTAAATCAGACACAACTGGACCAGCAGGAAAATATAGAAGATATTAAAGGTTTTTCAGAAGAGAGAAAATCATATTTATCTGAGAAGCCACCTTCTGCTTTAAGAAATAACCCAGCATATTCTATGAACCACCAGGCTCAGAGGTCCTTAATGTCATGTGCAAGTAGACTAACACCAAGGTCAGCAATTGAAAACAGACTGGTAGACCAAAGTCCTATGGTTTGTCCAGACACAAGAGTCAAAGATCTTCTGAAAGCAATGGATGAGAATCTTCCATCTCTACCATGGCAATACCAGGAAAAAGAAAGCTCAGCTCTCTTGATTATGGAATCACCACACCTATCACCTTTACCAAGGCTGAGACAAGTTGCCCTGAGGGACCCCATCACTAAAAAGATTTCATTGATGGGACTATCACAGCAACAACCCAATGGCTCATCTCCATTTTTTGTCAACGGGTCAAGACCGCCAATTTTCCCCATGACCCCACAACAAACACTTATGGTAAGAAGCTTGAGGCAATCCAAAGAAAAGTCAAAAGACTTCTTCAACAGTGGCAAGGTTAAGAGGAACTTTGTACAACTCAAACACACACCTAAGGATGTGGACTTGAATCTTCCAGTATTATCTCCACCATATCAAACAAGGTCAGGGAAAAAACCTGAGATTTTAAGACTAGATTTTGCATAATGTTTGCAAGGCAATATACTAAATGAGTAGCAGTGGTGTGTGTGCGCGCACACACACACACGTGAAAAAGTGAAGAGACAAAGTGTTTGGCAAATAGCTAGGAAGATTGTGACAGGAGAAGGGAAATGGAGTGGGAGTAACTGGTAACACAGAGTACAGAACAAATGGGTTCAAGTTACCTGTAGTTGTGCACATTATAACCAAAGAATAAAACTCACAAACACACCCACAAGACATAGGGTTGGATCTCATAGGTTGATTTCAATGGAACAAAATGCAACTAACATCCACAAGGAAGGAAATGAATATTCATTAGCTGGCAGTTTTTTTGTTTCTATTCCTATTTTCACAGAACTCATTTGTGAATCCTGTGCCAAATAGTTAAATGTGGTTATTTTATTTTTTAAAAAATGTTTACACAACTGTAGGTACTTGAAATTCACTGTTTCTTTCTTTCTTTGTTATTATGAGAATCCATATTCATGATGAAAAGCAAAAATGTGTCCTGTGGACTAACAATTTATTGGTGAGCACTTTCTGGTACACCTAAGTCATCTAAGTCATATGCCTGAATACTTCCCAACAGAGAACTTGTATTGTAATTGTGAGCCTGTGGCAGATATTTTTTAATAGCAAGAATGCAATACCACTGCTCATGTTCCTCCTATGCCATGTGGATCTATCCCTTCACAGTTTGGATGAATCCCAGAGTTGGACTTGGGAGCCTGGGTATAAAATCTCAGCTTATATTGGAGAACTCATGAATTGACTTCAACTGCAACTCCCTGGCCAACATTACCCCAAACAATACCATTTAAAGAGATGTTAACCTTTTATACTGTAAACTTCAAGAGAAACATGAGAGTGGGTGTATGGTACAAGAATGGTTTAACTGTGTTTGGAATAATTCACTAGCTGACAACTGTCTAAACAAATTTGAATACTGAGCTGGCTGGACTAGGGAGATGATTTTGTATGGTGTGGCTTTATTTAATGAAGAAAGAAACCAATTGAACTGGCACACATGGCACAATTTTTTGGAATGATGATGAACAAAGTTTCATAAGCAAATTATTTGTAACCACCTCTGTCAAATCCGAATATATAATACACCATATGTTGCACTGTTATTTTTTGTAAAAATAAATAGTTTATAAAAATTAAAAAATGAAAGTTCTACTCATTGTGACATCTGCTAGGACTCTGGCACTTCATGCGCTTGTAATGTCCATATTCTGTCACCTCTGCCCTTTGCTCATAAACACAGAAACTCATAGATTTCAAACCTTTCTTGCTCCAGGACCCACTTTTGACTTCAAATGTCAACATGGATGTCACCCCCAATTTTCCCACCCCACCCCACCCCCAAAATAATATACTGTGTTTTTCGTTCCATAAGACGCACCTGGCCATAAGATGCACCTGGCTTTTAGAGGAGGAAAACAAGAAAAAAATATTCTGAATCAAATGTTGTACTAAACTATTTAATAAACTACCGGTATATCAGAATAATATTTCAACCATGTAAAGTGAACAGCAGTCAACAGTAGCATTAAGAACCATCATCACTGTCATTAACAAATGAAGAGAGGCTTTATCCCCTAGTAAGGGGAGCAGGCAATGGAAATATATGAGCTTCCCACATTGAGTGTCTTAGATGTAAGGACTGTATGGTTTGGCCTTACACAATTGTTTTAATAAAGCCAAAAGAAGTGGGACTTTCTTCCTTTTTGTTCAGTGCAGAGAGCTCTGGGGGCTTTCATATGAAGGAGGAATGAGGGAGAAATCTGATTCAATTCCCATTTAAAGTCAAACCTATCTAATTCACACCTTCATACACAATACAAGGACCAAACCACAGCCACTCTTCAAATTTCACACTTCTGCAAAGGAAGGCACTACTGTCCCAGCAAGACCAGTGGCGGAGAGAGGGTCTTGCATGGTGGCACGTCACCAGTGGGGATGTGGGACGTTGCCCATGCGAGTGTTGTCCCAAGGGGGTGGTGCGGGCGTGCACATCCATCCCAATGGGGCGGCCGAGCATGGGGGTGGAAGGGTTACACAGCTCCCGCTGTGCTTGCTTTACACCCGTGTAAGTGGCTCCTTTCCTGCTTTAAAGCGAACCACAGAGGAGGGACGGATGGGAGGCATGGCTCGCGTCCGTCCCTCCTCCACACAGCATTCGCTTCATAAGACGCATATACATTTTCCCTTACTTTTTAGGAGGAAAAAAGCGCATCTTATGGAGCGAAAAATACGGTGTGTCATTTTTCTGTCACTGGTGACCAGATGCAAGTTTTTTTTCCAGGCGTAGCCTGCCATGCAGAGGTGAAAAAGCTTCACTTATCAAAACATATTTGCTTATATATCATAATTCTGTCTTCCTTTCCATTGGATCATATTCTCTCTCTCTCTCTCTCTCTCTCTCTCTCATTCTCTCTTTCCTCTGCTCAGGTAGGGATGGGTAAGAAACGTATTTGTTTCACATTTTTATGCAGATCTCACTAATTTGCACTTCCCAAAGCGATATGTAATCCAAAACAAAGGTATCCTTCAAAATTTGAAGCACAGGCCTCTAACTCCCCCCCCCCAAAAAAAACAGTTTAAGAAACCTATATTGGAGGAAGTGCACACAAATATTATTACATTAGCTAATGAAATAATATATAGAAATTGATTATCTTAGGGAAATTGCTTGCAAAAACATGTACATTAGGCAAATCACATGCAACAATGTGTATATCAGGTGAAATGCACACAAAATGCATATAATCTTTTTATGAAGGCTTTTTATCAAAGATTTACAAACTGAGGTGGAAATGGTGTGAACTGAACCTAAGACTGGGGAAATGAGAACCCAAGATAAGCCAGTGTTGACCAATTCATCCATCCTGATTAAGGGATGCCTAAGACAGATAGGTTTAAATAGAAGACAGTTACTCAGGACTATCCGTTGCTTTTTATAATGCAACCCTAACCACACTGTCCTTTTAGCCATAAAAATACAGTACAGTTAATAATTTAGCAGTCAGGGAAATTTTGTTTAGCCTCTAAATAGCCTCTGAATAATTGAGAAGGCGTTCTGACACCAGATAGCTTTTTCAGTGCAGCGACATCCACCTCGTGTAAAATGGTGAAGAGAGATTGAAATGAATGAACCATCCCCCGAAGACTCTCGCATTACGGCTTATGAATACGCTCTCCAAATCAGAAGCCAATGAAAAAGAAGACGGCTGCTCATATTCACCAGTGAGAGAAGCCACTTCCCATTCGTTCACTTCTTACACGCAATCTGCTGAAAATCTATGGCTGATAGAAATCAAAGGATGAATTCTTTGGTAATGACTCGGTGCATTTCTGCATATATATATATATATATATATATATATGTATTTGTAATAATTATAGGGGTTGCTCGTGCGTAAGTTCCCGCCACTCCTGGCTAGGTTGCCTGGTTAAACCTTTTCTGTCTGGACAGCCCTTCACTTCGTGACTGTTTCAGTCGCTAGCAGAATCCGTCAGTGGGCGTTTCTTAAACCTTTTCCAGCATAAAAGCTGTTTGACGCCAAGTCTCCTCCTACTCTCCCTGCGCGGAAGTCTTCTGTGCAGGGAGGGTGTGGGTAGCGGAGGACCCGTGCTCTCCCCGCTGGTCTCCAGCGAGGAGTCCTGGAGCCCCCTTGCCGATTCCTCCATCTGCCCCCCTTTATCCCTGGTGTTACGCTGATTTCCTTCCCCAGCTGATGAGCTGCCTCTCTCCCTGCTGGGCCCTTCTCCAGCATCGCTTGGGAGCCTTGCCTCCGCCTCTGGCTCCGATGTCAGTTCCCTTACAATATTGAAGGGTTTTTTTGTGTGTTTTTTAAACTGAAGCACATTGAAATTCTAAAATGAAGCAAAGGAGATGAGGGAAAAGGGAAAGGGAGAGTAGGGTTGCAAAATCTCTTAAGGGATAGGTATGCAGAGGGTAGCTAAGGAATGGTGCCTGCCAAAACTAGCTTGGTGCCTGGTGGGATAGGAATTGAGCCTTGTTGTTTCTGTTGTGGGCATAGGATTGCTCCTGGTGGTAAGTTGGAAGGTTGGGCTATGCCTGGTGCTTCAGGTTGAAGCCTGATGGATTGTGGGATGAGCAAATTGCAAAACCTTACAGGAAATGGTAAGGCGGTGTGATTCTGACCCACAGATAATATCCCTTCCCTTGTACACCCTGAAATCTAAAACCCTGAAACTTTAAATCAAACCTAGAGACCTGGCAATGCCTAGATGGTAGAAAGGAAGGACAGAAGAGGCATGGCACAGAGGAGCTGTTCTTTATTTATTGCCGTTTATTAATTGCTTCCCATGAACTGCCATTTATTCATTGCTTCCCAGAAAATATCTAAAAGTGACTACACAATGAAAACATCAGTAATAAAAGAAATTACAATTTCATATATTTACATAAATGAAAACAGTTTAAAAACAATTATGGACACTCATATGTAAGAACAGTTACAAATCCAACAGAGACCAGGACTGAGATCAAGATTTTCAGTTGTTGGAAAAGGAAGGCGTTCAATAGGTGCCAGAATGACAGTAGAGATGGTTCTGGTCTGAGGGAATAAGTTCCAAAGGGTAGGTTCCACCATGCTGAAAACCCAGTTCTTACACTGCACAGAATGGGCCTCTTGAGAAGATGGTATACAGGAGGGCCTTTCCTGCAGAGCTTTGTGATTTGCAGGATATATATGGAGTGAGACCATTGTTTAAATTAAGAGATGAGAGACAAAAGGGCATAGTCACGGATACAAAGGAGGGCGATGGGTGACAGCGGGTGAATGGACAGGTATTGGGGGAACAGGAGAAATGGTGATGTATGGTGTGGGGGTTGGGAACTGTGGTCTAGGGAGGGGTAAGAGTAGTTAGGAGAAACAGAGAAGAAGATGGATCAGAAATGGCCGGTAGAATTCCTGCCCTTCTGGACACATTCTCCGCTCAAGCTAGGACATATACCAGCTTGGAGCAAAAATGTTCCCTCAGACGAGATCTCTGTGGGAGGCCACAAGATGAACGCTGTTACATTTTTAATGCTCTGTTAACTGTATTGGGTCAAAGGTTCAGAAAGGTGACAGCGAGGGCTACATTGCACTTAAACTTAATCATCTGCTTTCCAGTCATGCAGGTGGAAAACTCCTAAGCCTTTCCAGGATGCTAGTCTCTAGAAAATGTGGTGCTATTTGCCTCATGTATAAAAACTTTTAAAACCAATAAAAGTTACAAGCGGCCATACTGCCATTTCCACAGGAGATGTACCCAGTGAGCAATAGAACCCAATTTTGCCTTAATATTGGTGAGCCATGAGTAATACAAGGGCTATAAAAATCTTCAGTTTATATGCAATAGGTTCTCTCACATTGATGAGCATTGCTTTTCACTCAGATAGACACTTTAAAGTGACAGGGTGACTAAACGCTCAGCTAGATTGATAATTTCCACAATCAATCAGTAGCTCAGCTCTATAAATGTTTAGCTAAGAAATGTCATTCATTTGTTTCAGTGGAGCTACCTTTTTATGGGAATTAGCTCCCCTTTACAGAGTTATGTAGAAGACAGGCCCTATAATTGGTTCCGTCCGATAAAAACTATTCAAGACACTCTCTTTTAAAGTTTAAATAACAAATAACTTTTACTTTGTGTACTTGCACTTGCAGATTAAATATACCACAGCTGAGTGTTACTTATATTACTAATACATATTACATAGATTTGTATCAAAGATAAATACGGTTGCAGGCTGTTACAGACTGACTAACTCTGAGACAGACAGCAGCACAACAGAGCATACCTGCTGCTCTAACAGTTAAGACTGTCATAGCTGTACCAACTGCCATAACTGCCTCAGGCGTATAGGAGCCAACTCCTAGGGGCCAAGGGGTCTTTCCCCCCCATAAAATATTTGAGGGGGGCTTCCCCCCAGCTGATGGGCAATGCCATTCAAATGGTGTGTGTGCACTGTCATGTGATCAGTCAGGGTGATCACATTTCCAAGCCGGGTTGCACTGCTAACAAAGTGTCTCAAGGGGGCTCAGAGACTCCTTCAGCTTCTGGGTGGCTCTGTGGGAACGGCCTTTTCCCAAAAAATTTGCCACAGCCACCCCGCACCCCCATCCCAAGAAATGAAGCCAAACTTCCGGAGGGAAATGCTCAAAGCTCAAGAAAGGAGAGGATGTTGAAGTAGCAGGGGGATGTGTATTTTATTTTATGACAGATCAGACGGTTTCCTAAAGCTACAGATGCAAGTCAAATACTGTGGTTGGTAAACACCCCTAGTACATATGCTTAGGATTGCACCCTTTGTTAATTTCTGCCACATCTGTGGAATCCAACTCTTGATCTTGTGTGATTCCCCCCCCCCCGAGAGAAATATGAGGAAAAGTAGCTCTAAGACTAGCTACAAGATTTATTTAAAGCATATGGCTTACAGGTGCCTGACTGTCAGTCTTCATGCTTTCTTACAGAATAGGTACAAAATCAAACACAAGTCCCTACTTTTATCATTTTTCAAGCTAATCAACTTAGACATCAAAGTGGATTTTTTACTCCTCTCTAAACTATCCCCCCATGGTACTACCAGAGGCGTACTTGGGGTCCCTTGCATCCTTGGCAAGGAGCTGTATCAATGCCCCCCCCCCCCACAAAAAATCACTTTACCACAATAGCCACATTATAAATTACTACATTTTATGCAACCTAAGTACTCAAAGTGTCCAGAGTGAGAGCGAGGTGAGGAGGAAGGGCGAAAAAGATGACACACCTTTGTGCCGTGGTGTGAGAAGGATGGGAGGCTTCCCCTGTGTTTGATCTTTCCACGACAACGGTGGCACATCACCAACATATATGCCATACACCCCATAGTTTGGTAGGTTATTTTTGCAGAGGGTGGTGGGCCTGACCTATATACTCAGCAGGGACAGTTTCACAAACCCCTTTGTATGCTTCTGGGTACTACTTCTGTACCCTAGAGCTTCCTAGTTCCTACAATCAGTATAGTTTTATAAATTCATTCTTATGATTCCCACTTCTGTCATATAGCTAAGACGCCAACCACTTTGCACTACACTTTGCACTACAAGCTAGTCAATAGGCTTGGGGAGGGGCTTGGCTAGAGCCATGATCTAAATGCCTGAAACTCAATTAAAAATCATTTGATCCAAGCCCACTCAACGCACACTCACATGCTTATATTTATAGGACAGCAGTGAGGTGACGTTGCAGTGCATTGCCAAGTTTGCCTGACAATTGACCTTGTGAATGCTCCACCATATATCATGATTGCTGCTTCGCTGGTGACCAGTCTGAAATATTCCAAACAGAAAATATTGCACTAAGACCTTGACAGATTAAAGCCTTCACAGTATCTGTCAACACACATCTGCATCCCAAAATGGCAAATCAGTGGCAGCTTTGCCATTTCACCCTGGTGTGCTTGTGTAAGGCTATCATATGAGAACTCTCAGTTCAGCATTAGTACAAAGCTTTGGCACATAGGTGCAGAGAGAGAAAAGGAACATAATTTTTTTTTGCACTGATATTTCTGCAAGCTCTCTGCACCTATGTGCCAAAGCTTTGTACTAATGCTGAGCTGAGAGTTCTCATATGATAGCCTTTGGTTTAAATTTCTCCACCTCCAAATTTCACAACCCCCCCCCAAACTGACCCAAATGGTGCTGATTTTACACCCAGCAAAATGGGGACTACTTTTGGCTAGCCCTGATTTTTTACAGCAGTGAGATAAATATGATCACCTGCAAGTGTTTGCAGACCAAGCCACAGTGCAACAGTGCCGTGATATCTGGATAGGAAAATCCTCACAGGTGAAGGGTGTTTCTCCTACAACTTTTCCTCAACATACCCAAACATGCATTTTCCTCCTCAGGTTTTTGGGCCTTTCACCTTCATTTCTTTTCCTCCCCTCCTCCTTGTGAAAAGTAATTCCCACTTACTACATCTGTGTTTTCACCCCATTGTGCCTGTCTGAACTAGAGCTCTAAAAAGAAAGAAAAAATTCTTAGTGTTCCTAACTAAAAGGAAATTTCCTCCAAATGTTTTACCATGGTAGGGAATTTCTTTAAAAACATTAAACTGGCTGCTTTTTAATGATGTGTTTAAAATTAAACATTCCCAGATGGGATGTATATTATGGACAAACCATGTCCTTCAGTTCAAGTACCCTGTTTACTTTAAAATCTGAAACTAACTACAAATGCAAACCAGTTTTTATTTTCAAGCACCTGGAAAAAATTACCAAATTCTTAGGTGTGCATTGTAATGAGAACAAATACAGAAGAGTGTGAATTCTTGGGTTTCAATATCTATTTTTAAATTGTTTCCCGAGTAAGCTTTCTATTTAGATTTAATGAGATTCTAACTGCATTTTAAAAAAGAAAAGAAAAATCCCAGACGATTATTAAAGACATATTCCTGTAGGTTTTGCACACATAGTTTAAACATTTCTTAAACAGTGTTTCAGATCATCGTTGGCATTCCAGATGAGTTATCTTCCTAAATAAGTTGAATTATTAAACTTTTACTAGAAACACACACTGCGGGGGGATTAACTGTTTTTCAAGAGACACAAATCTCTGCAGTTGCTCAGCTCTGACGGATCTGTTTTTTAAATGGTTTGGCTGCCATCCTGCACACAATTAGGCCTCTAAAATCCAATTGATTTGTGATAGAATTTAAACTGCTTGTGTGTGCTGGATTGTAGTCCAGGTGATTTTAAGGCACATTTTTTTGCCTATTATTTTAAAGCCACCTAAAATCAAAGTCTATTAAAACATCACCATATACAGTGGTACCTCTGGATACAAACAGGATCCATTCCAGAGCCCCGTTTGCATCCAGAAGCGAATGCAACCCGTGTCTGCGTGTGCTCAGGTCGCAATTTGCCACTTCTGTGCATGCACATGACGTCATTTTGACTGTCTGCGCATGCGCAAGCAGCAAAACCCGGAAATAACACATTCTGTTACTTCCAGGTCGCCGCGGAGCGCAACCCGAAAGCACTCAACCTGAAGCAACTTCAACCCAAGGTATGACTGTACAAGATAATACCAGAAGAGAGAGATTATTGTGATAAACAGGTCATGGGACCTAAGAAAGCTGCTCTGTGCAATCTCCCATAATAGTATTGGGGATTCAGCAGGTGGTTATTTAAAGGTGCATTTATCTGCCCCACTCTTTTTGATAGGTTCTCTAATATTTCCCTGTACTGACAAATGGTGAAAGCATCCAACAGATCCTCTTAACTGGTCATCATGGATTTGGTTAAGGACCAGCACCAGAGGTTGGCAAAGTCAGGCACCTTCCTAGGCCCATGCCCCAATTGGGGGGGGGGGGTACAGCCAATCCCTAGAGCCTCCTGGCCTCCTCCTTCTCTTTGCTTCTGCTGCTGCCTGTTCACCTGCCCTCACCAAGTGAATGAGCATTGGGAGGAACAAAACAAGGAGCAGTAACCACAACACATCTTGCCAGCACACCTTCTTTAGGAGATGGTATAACTAGGCCCAAAGGAAGAAACCACTGAATGGGCAGTAACAACTGTACACAGAAGAGGCGGGTACTTAGTGAGATGGGTCCACTGAGAGAATCTCACCCAAAGACCCTCAAATCTGGAACAAGCATTGATTTGGTTGACCAGCTAGAGCACTTCAGATATTATCTGTATGGGGGGCAGGGAGTGCTCATTTTACACAATGATGTCACCACAGTTTGTCATAAGTATCCTTGGGTGGCACTCCTGTTGTTACTGAATTGCAACTCACATCATCCTTGGCCATTGGCTGCGTCATCTTGGGATGTAGCCCAACAACATCTGGAGGCCCACCCACGCTTGCATGGCTTACAGGGTGATCATTTTCCCCACCCGTCTTACTGCAACTTTAGCAAAGGCACAAGCAGAAAGAACTACAGCTTTCTCCTGTCTTGAGGTGTTGGAAAGCAGAAGCTGCTGAACTTTTTGCTGCTCAGGCAGCTTCAAAAAGTTCAAAGCTGCTGTCAAGAAAAGGTGGTAGTCCTAGCAGCTAAAGGGAAGTCTCAGAAATACTGTTTTTTGTCTCTCTTTTTTGTTCCAGCTTTCTCTTCTCATTCATAATCAAGGGCCAAACTAGACATGTCATTAAGCGTATTTTTGTATTTACTCCAGTGGTGGATTTGACCAACACCACCCCAAGCAAAGTATCAGTTTTGGAAATGTGATTTTCTGCAGGAGGAAAAGATTCAAATCTCTCCCTAGTGCAAGTTACACTGAACACAAGTGCAAGCTCTCTCTATACATGTACACGGTTGTGTGAAAGAGCATACGCTTGTTGATTTGTACAGATCAACTATTTGTATATACAGGTGCACAGATTGTACACTTATTGAATGTAACATGTCAGTGCTCCTGAAGTCTGCTGTAATCCTGACTATCAGCTGATGCAATTTACATCAAAGCCGCATTTTTTAAAACCCTAGATGCAAAAGCTCAAAAAAGACAAATGCCTAAATAAAAACAAGGGAATATACTGCTGGTGTTAGGTACAATACAAAGTGAATGTTTGGTCTCACCAACAAGATCAGAGATCAGGAACTAGGTACCCTGTCAGATTACAGGGCCCATCTCTGACCATTGGTCATGCTGTCTGGGGCTAAGGAAGTTGGGGTCCAACATCAGCTGGAGTGCCATAGATTCTCCAGTCCCTGATCTACATACAGCCTTGCTAACAGGGAGCATCTTACATTATGAGACATTTAGTGTATTTAGAGCAAAACTGATTTTGTCTACTCATAAATGGGGAAATGAGGAAGGAAGATCTCCAGAAAGTACAGACTGCAAATCATTTCAAAATGAGATATGTCCCAATCACAGAGGCCATACTGAAACATCACCTCATAATTGCTCAATATACAAGTCAGAACATGTCAAGATGAAATGCTTGAGGAACATGGTTAGCTATTATTGTGTTTGCTCTTTCCGGGGTGTGATGGAATGCAGAATGAGCCACACGGCAGGAATTGTTGTTCTTTTTTAAAGCTATAAAATGAAGACACAGGCAGATCTGTTAAATGGCATTCTCCCTTCAGGAGTATACACCATGGCTTTGTCCATGGACTTGAACCACAGCTCCCATCTTCCCTGGCCTTGCTTGCTGGGGCTGATGAGAATTGTAGTTCAGCAACATAAACACAGGTTCTCAACACCTGATCTAACTCATGGTGTTTTTTGGAAACTACCGCCCAAATGCTATTGACCAGTAAGCAACTGGACACAAACAAACAAACAAACAAATATCATGAGCAGCTCATACCATTACTGCCCATGAACTGTCACACCATTGCACTTCCTGGATTTTTTTCATGCAAATATTTGTGCTTCTTTAGTGGTACAACATTTTGCATGATTGGTGTGGACAGGTGTTTCCTTCTGTACCTCTTCATGGTCATTGCAGCATCCATGCTCTTGTATTACCAGAGCCCTTATTTTTATCTACGCATTTGCAACATGACATCCACACCCCTATTCACTCTGTTTCATTTTATCTGATAATTTGTGTACATAAACGAAAACTGACTATTCCACTGTCCCAGGACCTGATTGCCTCATTCCATCTCAATTCTCCATTTTTGGGGGTGGTGGTCAAATGGAACAATGTTTATATGGGTGTTGGTTATGATATACCATTATTTCAAATAGAATATATAAGAAACGAAATTGGGAGCTGGTTATTTTCATAGGGCTCCTCTGCTCTAAAACTTGTTGACAGATTGGTTCATCAGCCACTGATCTTCTTGTCCTGGGGTCATGATATTGGATAGCAATATCTGTTTCCACACCCTTGTTATGGATACCAAAGTATGTAGTGATGAGTGAATGAGAGCAAACTCTCTCTATAAACCTTCCTTAAGGCAAACTCGGGGTATTTTCACACACATCTCTGAAAAGGTGTAGCAGAAACACAGGGCAAGCCGGCACAGCCTGATGTGATTAATACTTCTCTGTTGCTGTTATCTATAGAATCCTCCCCAAATGGACTCATATTTTTGGGACATGTTCACACCAATCAATTCTGTGCCCCAGGAAAAGGAACAAGCTAAATGTCCTGCTGATCACAGCTCTCAGTGAATCTTTCTGCTGCTGGGAAGTTTATGCCTGCCAATATTGGGGGGGGGGGTGCTTTTAAGCACACCTATTTTTCATCAAGTCTGAGTGTTTACTTCTGAGCAGAGCCACCGCTGGGGAGGCCTCAAGCCTACTGCTCAAAATAGAGCCGTTCCCATTCAGCAGGTCCCAGCCAGCCCTTCCCTGGAGTAGGAGAGATAATGACTGGTGACCTGAGTGAGTTCACATTGGCCAATCGACAGGCATTTGACAAATAACAGGAGCCTTAAGCACTGTTTAGGCTCCAGAGAACAAATGTATTAGGCTCCAGAGAACAAATGAGGAGAAAGAGGAAGACAATCACTAAGGTTGTGTGTTAAAAACAATTTCTCCACTTCTCACAGTCTCTTGCATTGCAAGCTGTCTTTAAATAAAAGTGCACTCTCTCCCCCACCACCACTATCTATTGCTAGCCAGATAGAACAAAAAACCCCCCAAAACAAAACCCCTCTTCAGATTGCATGTTTCTGTTTCATGTCACTTGTCAAGGAAAATGAGATGATAATGCCAAAACTAGTAGTGCTGTTAATAATATTTATTATTTATATGTTTTAAAAAGAAAAGAGATACGCATAGATCAACAGAGAGGAAAGGCATTGCCCACAGGCCCATAATCAAAAGAGGGAAGGTGAGTGTGATGGGAAAGGGGATGGCTTTTTCATCGAACACAGCTTGAGGAAGGGCAGAGCATCTGCCTTGCATTCAGAAACCCCTAGCTCATCTCCAGGTAGGGCAGGGGGAGACCACTACCAGGAACCCTGGAGGTCTGCTGCCCTTCCGTGTAGACAATACTCCACTAGATACCGCAATGTTCTGACGCAATGGAAATAACATTTGTCATTGTTTTCAGGTGCTTCATTCTTAAGGTTTCATCTTGCATCCTTTTGGCTTTCAGAGAATATGAAACACCTTTTGGGAAAGATTTTACTTTATGGAAATCCCATATGAGAGCACATGCAGTTTTATTAGCTATATTTTCAAAGCTGGGTTGGGCAAAACTTTAGAGCTGCATCTGAAGAATCTGTGACATTTTCTTTTTAGTGTTGCTTGGCTTTATTTCTCAGAAATAAAGACAAAGGCTGTTCTTTAGATAAATCTGGATATACTGCAAGCCCACTTCAATGCCTTTTGTCCATAATCCTGTATTTCCTTTCCTTTTTATAAATGACACTTTATTTAGCTCCCTTTCAATATACTATGTATATTGAATACTATATGTATACTACCATGTTTTTCTTTTCTTTTCGTTGAATCAGATTCCCATAGATGATGGTAGTGGAAGAGACAGCTGGTTATTGGTAGGCACTCTGCTGTCTTGCACTCTCAATCTCAAAAATATGTTTTCTTGATATTATGTGCATTGAGTTTCTAGTGCAATAATCACATACCTATGCATTCACAGGTACCTCCTCTCCAGTCTTCTGTTGTAGAGATCCTACATTATTTTTAGGCTGCATACACACTAACCTGTTTACAGTACAAAAATGTGGTTTTTTGCCATCCAGAATCATTGGTGCTCATCCTCAACATGCTGCTTTCAATCTAGAATTATTCTAGACCCTGCTGTCTCCAAGGGTGGCTATAGCTTCATGACACATGGGTTTATCTATACTTCCATTTTTCCTTCCCTTTCCCCCCTGGGGAAACCCATTTTTAGTGCTAAATCAGAACAGAATGGTGATTAATATACACATAATAATAAATTATACATTCTTTATCAACCTTCTGAGAAAAATACAAAACATTAAACAAAGCCACAGAGACTTGCGAACTACCCAACTTTGCAGGTAGCACACTCCCAAGATAGTTTTCTGAGCTTCTTCAGTGGTCTAATCTCAAAGTCTTGATATTCAGTCTTATAGAGAATACTCTTTCTTGGCTTAAGCTTAAGAGACTACCTGCAAGCCCCAGTAAAAGGGCCCCATTGGGGGCGGACAGCGGCCTCTTGATTACTTGGACTACCAGGGCGAAACAGGTGCAAAACGCCAGCACCCTGTCATCTGCAACTTCATTAACATCTATCTACAACTCCACTAGCATCTCTGGGTATTGTGAATAACACCGAACTTACCTTTTGTTGGTATCTTCATGAACTTATCTAAAAGACTGAGTTAAGCATTTGAAAAATCTATTGAAACCAGACATTATAAGTTCATCTTAGGTTGGGTAGTTCGCAAGTCTCTGTGGCTTTGCTTAAAGTTTTGTATTTTTCTCAGAAGGTTGATAAAAAATGTATAATTTATTATTCTGTGTATATTAATCGTCAACGTGTTGCATGAGTCGCACCACTTCTATCAGCAGCACAGGTTGCATTTTTCTAGCATTAAATCAGAACAGAATGGCAATTGGGTTTTCCGCATATTGCAGCTTGTTCCACTTTAGTCCTAAAGAGCAGGTTTTCTGGATGAAAGTGGCAGGCCAAAGGCAAAACTTGTCAGACCCATGCCTAGAAAGCAATGGAAAGGGGGGGCGGATTGTATGGCCCCATGCTTTCTAGGCATGGGACAAGCGGATAGATCCGCACCTTTTCCTCCCTACATGTGTTCTCTGTCAATGAAGAAGGAAGTGGTAATTGCCATCTTGGCATACACCCACGTGCATTGTCATTGGTTACATCTGCTTTCAAAGGGGCAAACAGTGGAGTCATGCAGAATCAATCTGCAGTGAGCTTGCGTTTTTGGAAAGGAATAGTTTCTCAGGAAGTGCTTTTCAGGGGGAAAGAATATACAATAGATCTAGATTTTGTGTGGACTATGTGGAAGTACTCAGGGCTCCAATGAGCTTAGAATAAAATGTTGCATGTACACAGCCTAAGTTTTTATTATTATTGTTGTTTATAGCCAGTGGCCATTACAGTACAAATCCTGCCAAACAACCAAGACAGTCCAAGGGTAAGTCAAAACATATATATTTTCAGAGCTGCAAATTTTCATAACTTAAAATGTCTCATTGGCCAGCAGCCATCTAATTTTGAAACCATCTGACTGACTTTCTGAAATAAACAGAAGAATCTATCCCTGGGTGAATCATATAAAGGACAGTACAGCAGAATATAGTGTGTGATGTCTCTGATCTCATTCAAGCCATGTATATAATCCTTTGTTGGCCCATTAAAGAATTTACTGGTCAGATTTCTAAAATGAAGTTTGAGACTCAGATTCAAGGAACGTGCACAGGGAGAAGGTGGTAGGCTGTGCTTTATGCATGTGTTCCTTGAGTGATTGTACACATGAATGTCTTTGTATGGGCAATTGGAAGCACTGTCCCTGATCTAGTTCTCGAGTTCCCTGCACACAAAACAGGACAACAGTCAAACCAGAAGAAGTCACCTTTCCAGCTTAACTATAATACAATGCTGTTTCCAACTGTTTCGTGTAAGAATTGCTTTTGCTGTAATTCTGACTGATCGATTTCCCCATTCTCATCTACTGGACAAGAAGAGAGCAAACCTTACGAAACCAATTTCCAATTATGAGACCCTGCTGGTCTCTGGGGCACACCTGCTGTTTCTTTCAGTTTTCTGGATTCAGCAATTCTCCAAGGGTAAGGGTGGAGTTACTAAAATCCTACTGAATTGATGAGTTTCTCTTACACACATGGCAATTCCATACAACACTATGTAATGCCTAGCCAGCTAGAGCAGAAACTTTAGGTTCCATTTAGTTAGTTGTTTTTAAAGTCAGGAAGTTAAATGTGCCATAACAACAAGAACCCTTCTTTTTTCTATTGCCAGGCTTTAATGATTCTCATACTGGGCGATACAATTGGTCTGTTAACTGGAAATATGTTGAAGGCCCGTTCTTCTTTCCTGAATGAAACACTGGCTGTGCTGACCTTGGCTGGAAGTTTATTGTTACTCACTGTCGTGAAGAGAAAGCAAGAGCCAGTGACAATTTGTTCATACAATTTAAAATATATTATTGAGCCTTTCAGCCACATTGAGAGTTCTTTAATGATCAGCAGATGTGTTGCCTGTGTCAGTTTTCTTTGGACACAAACAGAATCTGCTCAGCCTGTCCCAGGATCCCTTTGGCCGCTCAGCTACATCTCAAGGCCCACTGCCTAGCTAATTTGGTGTTTGCTCCCTTGTGTGTCATTATAACAGGGCTGGGGAGCTTCAGCTGTGTTTTCCTGTGACCTGGTGTCACCCTGAAGCAAGTTTGGTTCTTCCCCTCCTCTTGTTCCTCCTCGGTGCTTAACAACAGTCAAATCACCTAATGAGTGGCTTGAGCTCCCGCTCCCGAATTATTTTCTTAAAACAAATTGTTCGTTGTTTTCATTCCACAAATGATATTGACCCACTTTCATGATCTTCAGAAACTGAAAAGGAGGCAAATATTCATACCGTGGTCAGCAGCCATTTTGAAGCAGCAGTAAAGCAGGAGTTGACCAAGGTGGCCTGCAGACAAGTCCTTTTGCAACAAGTTACCACAATCCATGCATCCCCCTTTGCTGCAGGGCTGGCAACTGGGGGGGGGGTTACTTGGGCAGCCAGTAATTTTATGAGAAACTTTCAGAAAGTTCTCTGTGTTCCTCATCAGTAATAGACTCGTACTCATAGAGAGCCAGTGTGGTATAGTGGTTAAGAGCGGTAGTCTCGTAACCTGGGGAACCGGGTTCGCGTCTCCGCTCCTCCACATGCAGCTGCTGGGTGACCTTGGGCTAGTCACACTTTTTTGAAGTCTCTCAGCCCCACTCACCTCACAGAGTGTTTGTTGTGGGGGAGGAAGGGAAAGGAGAATGTTAGCCGCTTTGAGACTCCTGAAGGGGAGTAAAAGGCGGGATATCAAATACAAACTCTTCTCTTCTTCTTCTATACCTCCTCACTCTTCCCATTCTACATTTCTACCGTTCTTTGTTGAAATTTGTGTGTGTACAATCATAGATATGAAATACTTTCACTGGCAATGTGAACTAAGCAACTCTGTGATGTCTTTATTATTTGATAGACTCCTAATCTATCCCATCAGCTCAGGGTACATAACACCATAATCATTATTTCAGTTCAGTTAACAAGTGGGGAGGCCTCTAGACACCTTTCCCTATGCCTAAGTGTATTTAGATCCATGAGATCAGGGTTGGCAATGTAATGTCCCCCAAGACATATCCAGGTTGTCATAGCTTTTCCAGCTTCCTCTTTCTTTTCTGAAATGACGAGCAGCCTGCAGGTGAGATCTAGCGCTGCAGGAAATCATTTCTTTCTCAGCACATTAAGGTAGAATCCTTGCCAATCAACACATGTCTCAGATGAGGGTGGGAACTTAGTGTGCAGTGGAAAGCAAAATAACCCTTATTTTGCTAAGAAGGGTTTAGGAGAACGTTAGAACCTCGTGTACTCATAACAAGCAAAAAGCACACTAAAACTAACAGACTCCAAATGTTTTATTAAGCACATATTTGCTTCCAATGGTATGGTTTTCGTCTCCAGAAATTGCCCTTGCAACTTTCCAAGATGTAACATTTCTGCCCATTCTCTTGTAACAGATTGTCAATGCACCAACATGCCCAACATGCTGTAGGCTGCAAATCTTGAACATGCACTGGAGCACTGCAAAGGCTTACTCTCCCTCTCCTTGTATATGCCTTGCATTGGGTATCCAGTAGAGTCACACTAAGGAGGAAGAATCCCACTACTGCAAACTGCCTCTCCCAGTGCAGCGCAGCTTTACTCATGGGATGCTTTTAGCAGGGGCCACAAGGGACTGCAATGGGGAGGAGGCAGCAGGGGATGTTCTTGCGTGACAATTATTTTGCTTGGCTAGCACTGGATATAGTTACTCGCATACAAAAAGTAATTTATGAGCTTGGGTATTTGCATGTACACAAAACCTTTGGGATTCTTCTCTCACAAAAATGGGGAAGAGGAGAAAAGGACAATAAAGGTTGACCTGCAAAAACAAACAAGTTGTATTCATGCATCTAGCTGTATAGAGTCGCATCTTGTCTTCCTGCCTTTGCAGGTGTGTCAAACATCGTTAGTGCTCTCTTGTCACCTTAGGATGCATCTATTCATCTGGACCAGGCTTCCTCAACCTCGGCCCTCCAGATGTTTTGAGACTATAGTTCCCATCATCCCTGACCACTGGTCCTGCTAGCTAGGGACCATAGGAGTTGTAGGTCAAAAACATCTGGAGGGCTGAGGTTGAGGAAGCCTGATCTAGACTTTAGGACCCTCCAGACACTAGGTGCTCTGCCCTGTGTCTGCTACTTGTATCGTGATTACAAGTATTTTCTAATTTTAGTGAGACGCTGAGATGGTTGTATGTTATTGTTTTATCCGATTTTGTAAACTGTTCTGATTTTCGAATGAAAAGCAGTCTGCAAATGAAATAAACGCTTGTCACTGTCTCGGGCACTGTGGGAAATGGGCCAGCAGCCTGACTCAGTATAAGGGAAGTTTCCTATGTTCCAGAGTGGCAGTCCTGAAATAGAAAATGAGAGGGGAGGTGGTGGGTCATTGGCAGGAAATGAAACTCTCTTGGTGGATACAGAAAGCCATTTACCATAAATGTTATACCACACATTTACACTTTTGTGGGATCCGGGTCTTTCTACCAAGAAAAATCATAATAAATGATCAAAGTGCATTTTCCAGGAAAAGTCTAGTACACTTCAGTTCTATTGAAATCAAGGTGAACTCTAGCCCAATCCTAAACTGAAATGCACTGAATCATATTGATCTCAGTGGGATTTATTTCCACATGAAATGTGCTAAAGATTCAGTAATCTGTTTCTAGCAGATTTGTGTGTCTTTGTTCTATTAAGTGTTTTTATCTATCACTGGGTTGCAGTTATGGGCTTCAGAATGCCCCCCCCCCAAGACTGGTGAGACAAAGACCGCATTTGAAAATAATATTTGATCCAATAAAGCACACATATTATTAAAAAACACACCATAGTCTTCTTGTTAAATATGATCTACAGGCTTTTGAAATGTTCATAGTATATATGTAGTCAAGTATAGGATTTCCAAGCCAAACACACACATTAATAAAGGATTACTTTCCTTACACATTCAGGTCACTTTCAGATAACCTGTTTACACAGCATTCATCATGATTTATTTGCACAAAATTTGCAAGATGATAATGGCAATTTATTGAGAATTCGTTCTGATTTGTTTGCATCAAAGTTAGACAATGTTGCAACAAGCATGTGTTATTCCACAACTTCCAGTGCATTACCCCTTTCTTTATTGCAAAAAGTCTGATTTCGTGGAAAGTGGGTTTGTTGCACAAGTGCGCCAAATCAACGTTTATTGTGTAAACTGAGTTTGTCAGCATATTATTGAATTCCACCCACAAACAGTGAAATACCCTCAGGGTTTGTGCCTTGTCATTGGGTTCTTCAGGGGAGAAAAGGGAGCTATAGTGGGCTTTTAGTTAGAGCATATATTGCCTTGCAACTAAAATTGGAGTTTACAAGTCTTTAGGAGTTATTCTTGAAGCAACAATTTTTGGATTTCAGAATATTGTTGAACTCCTCAATTCAGAATTTATTTTTATTTTTTCCACTGAGGGAATCCTGGTAGGGATGGGTGAATCTGTCAGTTATGGTTTTTCTCTGTTTCTCTTTTTTCCAGGTTAGGTTCCACATTATCACAGTGATTTGCACTTATTTTTAGAAAGTTCTCAAAAAAGTTCACCAGCAGATTCATTAAGTTCAGAGGCTGAATATGCATCTCTGCAGAACAATTTCCCCTAATATAATGTATTTCTGTATGCTATTTTCACTAATGCACACTTCACCACAGCATATGCATTTTTGAACGCATTACTTATCTGGTAAACTGCATTGCAAAATTCAGAGAAGTGCCAATTTTGAAGAATGGCAGTGTTTCAGTTCACACATTATTTCACATTAGTTAGGCTCACCTTTAAATGTGAAATGAATCAAATTTCTCCCACATCCCTACTTGTATACGACACTGGTATTGTTTCATTGCTCCCTGTATGTTTGTTATAATTTTACCGTGATATGAAACTTGAGATTCCTTGACATTGCACACATGAAAACCAGAGCAATGCCTGACTTATGTTTCTGAAGGATATAATAACTGCAGACTAATGCAACTCATCAGGTTTCTGATGAACTGCATTCATAATTCATCACTGCTCGCAGATGCTAAAAAGGACATAACTGAGCAGGAGAGAATCATGATGTGAACTAAATAGTTTGGTGTTAATGCATTTCCCCAGTTGAGTTGAGCTGAGCTGTCACATTTAAGGCAGATAAGATCAACATAGTACTGCATTGTTTAATTGAGGATAACCAAAGTATATTACAGGAGCTCAAAAAACAATACTTACTGGTTTTCTTTAAACATTTATCTAGGATTTCAAGGCCGGTGACGACAAAAAAAATATCAATGCAAGTTAATAATAATAATAATAATAATAATAATAATTGCAAAAGCAGCAGCAGGTACATTAATGTATAGATGGTGCAATCCCATGGTGGTGGTATAAATATAAAAGTAGGTCTATCCAACACCCTGATGAGCTCAGGCTAGCAGGGCAGAAGTGATTACAGAGAAACACTTCACATTCCTATATCCTTTTTGGTTTTTTAAAAAAGTTTCCCTCCCATAAGAAAAAAGGCTAACTAGCTATCTCTCTAGTTTGGGGCATGCCGGGGGTTGTAATGCCTTAGGATCCCTTGGATCCAACCTGCTTCCTTTATGGACCTTCTGGTGCTGGAGCTCCAGTGCTGGGATTAAGAGACGCTGGTAGTAGAAAGGAGCGAGGAATCCAAGACTGGGCCTCCTTTTCTAAACACTGGAGCTCTCTCTCTGCCCTCAGAGAGGTAGATCTGATCTATGGTTCCTGTGTGCATTTTGTCAGATGCAGGAAGATCCAATGCAAAGGCGAGGAACCTCAGGCCCAGGGCTCAAACGCAGCCCTCTAGGTCTTTATATTTGGTTCTCAGGGCTCTCTTTAGGATAAACCTTTTTCCCAGGCCACACCCTTCACTAAGCCTGGCTGAAAAGGGATGAGGAACTATAGCAGTGCCTGGCTGAATGATGGAGAGATGTGGGCAGGGACACGTATAAACTACTGACTTTTGCATGACTGGAATAGCCTACTGTATGAAGGTAAGAGTCACATCAATTGCTTCAACTAATAATAATAATAATAATAATAATCATGGTTCCCCATGATGGAATGTTCCCCACCCTGATCTAATGAAAGAATAATTCTTTAGATTTGAGAACAGCAAATACATTTTAAAAATATTATGTGCTCTTTAGATTGACCAAAGCACAAAAACCTTACCAAACTGTAAACCTATGCAATCTAAGGAAGCTTCCAGCATATGTAAAGAAGAATTGGTATCTACATTCGTTCACCTGAAATCACTACATTGCAATTAATAAGGCCACTACACTACTAAGGGAAGCTCTAAACTATGTTCAAGACTGGTCTTCCTCATCATCTTGGACTCCAAAAATATGTTTATGTGCATTCAAGGGGCCTGTGTTAGGACTTATCCAGGCATAGTCTGCACTTTAAAGCTCTGTATCTGGGTGCACCCTCCTATTTTGCACTGAAGTTTCCCTGTGAAAACCCCCTCTTTAAGGCTCAATTGGAGCAAACGAGGATCTGCAGGAAACCTGAATTTCCATTTGCTCCAATTCAGCTTTAAAGAATAAGTTTTCACAGGGGGGAAAAGGCACTCAGACACAGAGCTTTAAAGTGTGGACCCATACCTGGACAGAGCAAGGCAAAAGGTATGATAAACTGTTATCCCAGTGGTATTATTATTATTATTATTATTATTATTATTATTATGCTTTTTTAAAGCAGCTGACCCCCATGGCAAGTTACCACAAAGTACTTTTTAAAAAAACCAAAAAAACCTTACATTTCATAAGGAGTTTGCTGTACAAAACTGGATGATGCACACAACTGGTATCACAGTGCTTTGGATTCTGGCCATACGTGTATGTGCAAGTTCCTATAAAATTGGTAGGATCTGCTTGGATATTTGCCAAAGGCTGGAACGCAAATCATTGCAAAACTCTCTTTCCAGCTGTATAATTGGCAGCCCCCAAACTGTACATCTGTTGGCCTGCATCACCACAGCTAACAAGACATTCAAAGGCTGGCAAACCTGCCAACACAACACCCACATCCAGGCGCTTGCTTTCAAGAAAATCCCATGCAGGGTTGTGCCAAACGCCTGCTTCTCTTAGAACCTTTGGGGTGTTAGGATACCATGTGACAGGTTTGTAGCTGGCGCCTTCCTCTCTTTCTCACCCACTTGACAATAATCACTGGTGCTTATATATATATATATAAATGACAGCAGTGCTAAAGCGCTCAAGAGAAAACTGACTGTATGCACAGTGGTTTGTGTGGACAAAGGATTAATTTATTTGCCATTACGTTCAAGAGTAGCCTCCTTAAACACAAGTAAATTGCTTGACAATAAGCACTGCACGGCCTGTGCTGGTAAATTACCATTAATAAGAGAATAGTAACTGGTGAAGATTCACTGAAGGATATTCTTGACCCAAATTTGCTATGGTAAAATGGTTCTCTGTTTCAAGGGTTAATCTAGGATGCTCAGCCAGTTCTTGATGTGAAGAAAATATTGATGTATATGCACATAAAGCACTAACTCTCCACAGACTATGACAGTTGTCTGCATTATTCATTTAGTAATCAGTAACATCTTTAATACAGATGTAGACCTTTATGTTCGTGCCAGTTAATCCATGGCAAGAAGGGGAATGTCATCTAATAGAATGTGTGCGCATGTGTGCGCGCGAGTGAGCGTCTCATATGACTGGTCAGTTGGCTATCACAGTTCAAGATGCCTTGAAGAGCGAGGTCAAACTTTTTTGCCACAATCAACTGAGAACATTTCAGCTTCACTGCTGATATCAGTTGACCAGGGGCTGATGCACCTTCTCATTTTGTTCCCCCAAAGCCCCTCCCCCACTACTCCTCACCAAAGTCCCCGCCTCCCCTTACTCCTCATCAAACCTCCATAGCTTG